TAACTCCAAATATAAGACTTTGATTTAATCAAATTGAAAGACTCTGATTTGATTAAACAGAAGGAATTCTAGACTTTTCCGTGTCTACAAATATGAAAGTAAAGGCAGTCTGATGATTTATACAAAATGTTATGTGATCTTGCCCTAACTGCTGATATGGCAAAGTCAAACTCATATCCTGTAACTTACACTAAGTCATGTTAATAAGGGGAGTGTGGTATCTGGACATTTTTCTCACTTGGGAGATTTGAGATAAACATTTAAAATTCTATCTAAAGAATTTGTTTGCCCCAACTGCAAACCATGCCCATTATTTGTTCATGAATGAACCAATCTGGCAACCTCAGGATTCCGTATTTTGAGTTTTTGCACTTTATACATATCTTAAATTAGGAGTGTCTTAGTCCCGGTTACCTAGAAATGTAGCAATCACATAACTTAGTCTTTCACCTTCCTTGTAGAAAGAAGAGTTGGAAGAAGCTGTTAGCTCTGACTCTAAAACTTTAGAGATTCTCTGAGTAAATTTATGAAATCAATAACAGTACTACTTACTTTGGGTTTCAATTTCATTAGTAAAATGGGGATACATCTTTCTCACAGTGGTCAGAGGGCTGAGATAATACGTGAAGACACTTCTGATGATGCTTGACATGTAGCAACTATCCAATAAAAATTAGCTTCCCTTCTGGAATGTTAACCCACAAAAACCAGTCAAGCTGCCACTGACTGAAAGAATATCATCATCATCACTTCAGGAAACACCAAGTCCCTCTTATGGTCAGTCTTAGCTATTGTCCTTAACATCACATTAATTTTCAATTGACTGAATTCATTCAAAAGTATATCCTCAAAATTAAAATGGATTTCCATCACACTTAATGATATGCTCTCATTTTTTAAAATTACTAGGTTGATTATATTATCCACCACCCTTCCTAAAATGGAATAACTTAAATTGGCCAACCTAGCCAGTCCGTATCTCAAATAAATTTTAAAGATCATACAAAATTTCTGTAACAAACTCGAGAGTAACATATACAACTTAAAGTACAAAGTTTGGTATTTGATTAGAGGGCTTTGAAAATGTGATAAATCATAGGTTCTTTTACTTCGGTGTGCATGAGAAATGCTTGAGCCTACCGACAAAAAACAGGTTCCTAAGCCTCACCCCAATTTCTGATTCAGTGGGTCTGGAGTGGGCCAATCTGCATTTTTAACAAGTTCCAAGTGGTGCTGATGCTGCTGGTCTGGACACCCCACATTAAGAACCACCGGCATGTATTAAAGACATAGATAGGGGGCCTGGGTGGCTCAGTTGGTTAAGCACCCAACTCATGATTTCAGCTCAGGTCACAATTTCAGGGTTGTGAGATCAAGCCCTGTGTTGGGCCCTGCGTGACAGGGGGGGGCTGTTTGGGATTCTCTCTCCCTCTCCCACTGCCCCTCCCCTTGCTTACACACGGTGTGAGCACATGTGCTCTCTCAAATAAATCTTTTTTTCTTTTAAGATTTTTTTATTTATTTGACAGAGAGACAGCGAGAGAGGGAACCCAAGCACACGGGGAGTGGGAGAGGGAGAATCAGGCTTCCCGCTGAGCAGGGAGCCCGATGCGGGGCTCAATCCCAGGACCCTGGGATCATGACCTGAGCTGAAGGCAAACGCTTAATGACTGAGCCACCCAGGTGCCCCTCAAATAAATAAAATAAAAAGACATATTCGAGACTTGTGGCATGCAGGTATGTGCAAGAAAAGGTTATAAAATGCAAGATGTGACAACAGAATAGAATAAGAAAAAATGATGAGACAAAAAACTTTGATTTCATCAAGGCAGCATAGACATGCAAACATTGACCCATCAGAAAGGACAGCAACTAGAGGCCGGCTTCAGGGTCCTGGAGCTCCTGCTGGACTAAAGGTGAGCCCTCCAACTGCAGGAGAGGCAACAAGGCAGAGGGGTCTTAGGTCAGGGGGACTGGACTCTTAGCACTCAGGACAAAATCCCCTGAATATTTTAAAAAACCAGAATGTCCACCTGGGAGTGTTCTGGCTGAAAATCAGCTCTCCAAGACAGGATGAGGAGGAACCCAATAATACCTGGGCACAGGAGGAAGTTGTAGTAATGCATGGTATAAGAAAGCTGCCTGGGGCGGGGGGTGGGGGGGGCGCGCCTGGGTGGCTGAGTCGTTAAGCGTCTGCCTTCAGCTCAGGTCATGATCCCAGGCTCCTGGGATGGAGCCTCACATCGGGCTCCCTGCTCAGTGGGAAGCCTGCTTCTCCCTCTTCCACTCCCCCCTGCTTGTGTTCCCTCTCTCGCTGTTTCTCTCTCTCTGTCAAAAAAATAAAAATCTTTAAAAAAAAAAAAAAAAGAGAAAAGAAAGCTGCCCGGGGTGTAGTTTAGCTTGTACTTGGGTTGTTCCAAAGGGATATGTTAGAAAAACAGATTCCTTCTGTTTTCTAAAGGACTAAGAGATATAACGGAAAAAATTCTAGCAGACCCGGGGTTTGAAGCAGAGTAGAAATAAAAATAAATACATCTCAGGTGCCTGCCTAGACAGAATCTACATCCAAGAGTTTTGCATTTGTACCCTGCCCTTATATTTGTAAAACAAAACAGAAACTTTACAAAATGTTTTGCTTGATGTCATCTTGTAGATGAGGCACTATTAAGAACTGCAGCAATTTAGGAGGATAATTCTCCACAGGTTATAATGTAAAGCAGTCTTCTCAAACTTTAAAACATATGTACATATGGACCTCAAAAAAAAAATGCAGATTACCATTTGGGAGGTCTGAGGTGAGGCCCGAGATTTTGCGTCTCTAACAAACTTTTGGGTGGTATGAGTGTACCAGTTCGTGAACCACACTTTGAACAGAGTAAAGCTGTGGTGTTCAACTTAAATTGCAGATTAAAAACACCAGGAGAGCTTTTAAAAATCCTCATGCCCAGGCATTTTTCCAGAGTAATTAAATTGGTACCCTGGCATCAGGATTTTTCAAAACTTCCCAGGTGATTCCTATGTTCAGCCAAGGTTGAGAACAACTGCTCTCAAGCATAATGCTCCCTTCTGAAACCCCAGAACAGTTATGGAAGAAATATCCATAGTCAAAGTAAAGAGCTTACTTATGATAGTATCTCCAGTATTTTATCATCAATCTTAATCACAGTGTTAATAGTTAAGAATGTGAATCTACAATTTCAGCTATTAATCTTCGATTTATTACAATCCTTTGTTGAAACTTAAATATTACAATGTTTAATATATGTTGTTAAAACTGTGTTATAGACGCCAGTCCTTGCTCTGGAACAGTGAAGTGACTTTGGAAGTCTTCCCTGAGCTAGCTCAACAGATGTCATGAAAATAAAATAAGCCAATGCTTTCCTAGTCTTAAGAGAGTGAAATGTCCTCTTATAAAGACTATAAAAATCTGAAGACTAGAGTTGAACACCCAGATGACAAATTGTAAAACAATGTCCTCCACAATGGGGCGGATTGATCCTAGGGTGTAAACAAGGTGATCCATGGGGGTATGGGAAGAAAACAGAACTTCTAATTATGTTTTTAACCTTCCAAAAACAAAAACAAACTTGACTAGTGCCTTTCTTTGGGCGTCAGATGGTACTGTGCATACTGTGGAAGCCATACCCTGAGAAGAGGAGAGGGTTCAATGAAAGCGGATAATGGGATCTCATTTAAATACTTGGCTGCACTTTCAATTCTTCTGGCCATAGGTTGGATCAAACATCGCGTCTCACGTTTACATCAAGCGAATCGCCAGCTGGTGTAATCAATAGAACAAATGCTCATAGTCAGGAGGGTACAAAAGAGGCCGACTGATTAGATTCTAGAAAGTTTTAAAGCCCTCAAATTGAAACGAAAAAAGGTTAAAACGTTTATAGAGTCAACTTTTTTGGCGTTTTCATAGCAAAGCGGATCTCATAAAAGCAATTAATGCTCGTGTTTTATTTTATTAGGGTAAATGTGCATAATTAAACTTCCGCGATAAATACAAATAACTGAAAAAAACCGGCATTAAAAACAGCTTTTTAATCCAATTTCTACTCGTCAAAAAAAGCACGATGAGTATTGTGAGACTGGACATCAGATGGCGCTCACCTTTCCGAAAACCCTAAGCAGTGGCAGAACATTAACGGGCATTTCAAAATTCAGTCCTGATGTCAAGCATCGTGTTTCGGTCAAGTCACTCTTCCTGAGTCTCGGTTTCCTCACCTGTGAAGTGGGGGTGGGAGCGGACCAGACGCATTTCCAACCCAGCTCGTCTTTGATTCTCTGTAGTGGTGGCGTTGACTGCTGCTATCGCTGATTGAAATAGCAAGAAATTCGGAAAAGACAGGTTGGGAAAGTGGGACGGAGGTAGACGGAGTACAGCTCTGGCTGCAAAGCGGGAGGCCGCTTTCGGTGTTTTGGCCGCTCACACTAGGTGGGTGGCGGAGCAGAAACTCAACCACGTGGCTTCTTCGTTTCCCTGGGGGAACCCAAAGCAGGGTTACTTCCAGAAAAATTCAAGGGAGAGAAGCGCGGGTCCTACTAACGACCTCTGCAAGCACCTTCGGAACGCGGGAGCACACCACAAACTTAATTCACGGGCTAGTTCCAAACGCACCCCACCATGACCAACACCCGTCGGACTCGGGCCCGGGAAGCGAAACCCCAAAAGTCACGTGGGACCGCGGATTTACGGCCTCCCTTGGGTGTACGCCGAGCGCCACCTCATGTAGGTTATTCCATCCAAGCCAGGGTGGGATCTTTCCCTGTCGCAGGAACTAGAACAGCCCAGCTGTATCTTGGGTGGTAATCTGAGGGAAAAGGAAATATGTTACTGCGTCTGGCGAGCTTCTTCGCTACATTTCAGTCGCTGTGAGGGACAGCCACCCTCGCTTTCCTCTCGATGTCCCTGTTCCCCCTCCCGTAGGAGTGCAGTTGGTATCGTCCGCGGCCCGCCCCCGCACGCCGTGGCCGGGAGGGGGCCCTCACGTGACCCCGGCGCGCTCTCGCAGGGGGCCAGACTCTCCGAGGCGGTGCCGCAGGAGACAGAGGGACTGCTGGAGCGGAGTGCGCCGTAGCTTTCGCCCGAACGCCAGCGCGGAGGACGTGATGTTGGGGCTCTCTCGCCAGCTGCCTTGGGCCGCCGCCTGCCTGGCCACGCTCTGTGTGCTGACCGCGGCTCAGAGCCCCTCCCCGGCCCCGAACGTGACTGTGATCACGACTTTAGCGACCACCACCAAGACAGTTCCGACGACGGTGACGACTCTTGCGCCGGTCACCATTCCAGCACAAGGTGGGCGCCGGCCCAACGGGCTTCCTGTACTCGCCCGCCCGCCGTGCCGAGCCGCCCGCTCTGTTCGCTCTGCGCGCGGGGCCGGGGCCGTGCTCCAGCAACATGGCGGCCCGTCCGAGTCCCGCCGGGGCCGGGATCGGAGTGACGGGGGTGGGGGAGCGACCCGGGGAGCAGGGGCGGCCGAGCCTCGGTGGCCGTTGGGTTCTTGGCCACCCCGAAGTGTCCGACGCCGAGGTGCTTTTAAAAAAGTGCCTCGTAATCCCCAGTCTCACTTCAGTTGGGGAAGAGGGGACGTGGCTTCCTCCCGCGGTGGTGGCAGTGGGGTTGATCGTGGGCGAGGCGACTCGCCTCCAAAGTTGGCGATCAGGTCGAACTCCCTCTCTTTGGTGTTAGTCATTTGCCCACCCAGGTCCTGTCTCCGAAAGAGGGCTTCTCAGGGACTTGGCAAAAGAGGGAAAGAAAGTGAAGACGTTAATGCTCGCCTTGGGTGTCTCAGACTTGGGTCTGAGAAAATAAGTTGCCTGCAATCTAACTATTTTGATTTTGGGAATAGGTGTGGGGTATATTTGAGGTTTGGGCATTTGGTTAATTAAAACTTTAAACTTTGTGCCAAGGAAGAAAAGTACCCCATTCGTGTACGCGATGCTTCATATATTCTTTTTGGTATTTTAGGCTAAATTGGAAGATAGGTGGTGAAATCTAGGAGGAAGATGGAGATAAAGTAACTCTGCTGGGAGTGTAGGTTTAGTTGATTGTGAAGGTGGGATTGGAACCCAGGTCTGTCGATTTTTTAAAACCCGATCAGGAACACACCCTTTGTTAAGCTCTGCAGTCGTTTTGGGTATTGGTTGAGTCGTACACTGAATCTTAAAGCAGAAATTGGCGATGCCGTGACAGCACAAGAGAGAGGGGAAGATAAATTTGAGGTGAAAAAGAACCCTAGGTATTTAAAATCTGAAATCTAGTGTGATTGGCTATTACCAATAGTTAATATCGAGTAAGGAGCAACTGGCATCTTGACCGAAGAATTGCGAAAGTGTCAGAATTTTTACCTTGCCCCCCACCCCGGCTGATCATACTGTTTTGAGTGTCTTCCTTTGGTTTTTGTGTTTTGTAGAAGTTTAATAAAATGTATAATTAATATTCAGAAAGATGTAGTAGTGAAATACAAAAGTTGTTAAATGAGGAAAGTACATTGCAGTACAGTACTGGACATTCTAACTGCACTGTTTTTAAGATGATAGAGCACAATATGTTTTGTCTTCTGCTTATTTGGCAGTTTCTTCCCAGAATTGTAGTTTTGGAGTGTGTGTTTTTCCAAAGTGAAGCTTGGCATACCCAAGTTAATTGCCTTTTTGTAATTGAAAGTCATACAAAGGAGATGATTTGTTTTCTGTAAGTAGCAGTTGTATAAAGCTGCAGCCTAAAATGAAAGGTAACAAGTTTAGTTCATTGTAAATAACATTGATTGTGCTATTCAGACATTAGTCGTTAGGCACAAAAGATTTTTAGACAACTAGCATTTTATATCAGTACACAAACCTCTGCAGAACTTATTTTTTATTTTGTGAACCCCTTACTCAAGGGTATTTTATATGTCCCAGTCCCTGATAAATTCTGGTGATAAAATAATGAAATGCATGCCCTCTGTGCAGAACGGGTTTTTTTGTTGTTTTTGGCATAAGGAAAGCAAATGTGAATGTTTTTTGGAGACATCTAGCTTCCAGGAAAATGGATAGAGCCCTAGTCTAGACTTTTGTAGCCATTTGGCCTAAATTATTGACAAAGACCCTGCTAATTTGTTAAATTGTATGTGCATGAAGGTAGCCCCTTCCAGATCTTACTGTCTTTTATCCTCCAGTCACAGGCACAGAGGACCCTGGACAGAGTGGATCATTAATGAATTACAAATCTCGGGTTTTCAGAATGGGCATCATCCGAATTTGGGTTCAACCTGTAACAAATCTTAATTACTATTAAAAATTTCAGTGTCTTAGCTGATGTTTGGGGGCAGTGATTTCCCTTTGTGTAGTGTTGGCCTTATAACACAGCCTTTTTTCCAATATTTTTATTTTTTAAGGATGCTTTAAAATGGCTCAAGAAACCCTGAGTGTCTGTGAAATAGTTGTCCTGTAGAAAAGGGTTGTTTAGATAGGTACTGAGCATTCCCAATAGTTTGTGCGGTTTTTTCCTTCCCTTTCTCTTTTTATTTCAGCTTCAGCAGTCATTTATAATGTTTGGAATTTCTTATTAAGCCAATTTGTGAAGTGTTTTTGTGTTTGTGGTTAAAAACACAACATGAGATCTACCATCCTAACAAATTTTTAAGTGTACTGTACATTATTAATTGAAAACACAGTGTTATGCAGAAGATCTCCAGAACTTTTCATCCTACTTGAAACTATACCCTGCTTGAGGAGCAAATCTCCCATTTCCCCACCCTCTAAGCAGCTATCATTCTACCTTCTGCTTCTGAATTTGACAATTTTAGATACTTAATATAGGTGGAATCATGCAGTATTTGTCCTTCTTTGAATGTCTGACTTGGCATAATGTCCTTAAGGCTCATCCATGTTGTAGTGTACAGCAGGATTTCCTTTTCTTATGGTTGAATACTATTCTATTGCAAAATGTAGAACACATTTTTTAAATCATTCATCTGTTGATGGACTATAACATTTTACCATTTTTCTGAATCAGTAAGTCTGGTACTGTACTTAATAGTCACTTTTGTTTAAAAAAGGTTAAGTTGTACAAACTCAAAGTGAGGTATCAATTGATTGGTTTTATATGCCCCTCCCCACCAGAAATCTGTGAAAACCGCAGCAGCTGTGTTTCCTGTTTCAATGTTAGCCTTGATACTCCTTGCTTTTGGATAGAATGTAAAGGTAAGAACCTTTGGGATTGCTTTAATTTTGAGAATGGAAACTGTTTTGTTATAACATTTTAAGATATTCTACAGGGTATTCCTGAACACTTAAAAATTATGTAGAAAATTAGGTATATTATGTACTATTTATTTTGAAAAACAAATACTTTTTTAAAGATTTTATTTTTTTATTAGAGAATGAAAGAGAGCACGAGAGGGAAGAGGGTCAGAGGGAGAAGCAGACTCCCTGCTGAGCAGGGAGCCCAATGTGGGACTCGGTCCCAGGACTCCAGGATCATGACCTGAGCCGAAGGCAGTCGCTTAACCAACTGAGCCACCCAGGCGCCCAACAAATACTTTAAAGTTCCTATTGCTTAACACTCCCCCTAAAATCTCTGGTCTCTCATTCTGTCCCCACCCCTTTAATTTCTTAGACTTGATAATTAAGGTTCAGTAGCTTTTAAAGGAAGAGAGATTTTAAAGCTTTGGAAGATTAAATGGACAAGTACACAAATCAGCTGTGAAAGAAAGTTGTGAAATTTTCCCCTGAAAACAGTTTCCCGGAAAAAGGAGGCGTTTATCTTCTGCATGTGTCCTGCTAGATGAACTATAGAGACCTTATAAAACTTAGTTGGATACTTAGATGTGGGAGAAGAATGAGATGGAAAGAGAGTTGGTGTTTTTGTTCAATCTTAAAATTAACCTTTAATTTGAGGGATAAAGAGCTAGTTGGAGATACTTTGAAATGCTAGTAAGGTTTTTGTTAGAACCGTGGGATTACAGCATATTCTGTTTTCTTAATGTAAGCTAGTTACTTTTTTTTTCTTATCAGTAAAACAGTTTATCTGGGGGGTGTGTGTATGTATGTGTATGTATATATAGACACACACACACACACACACACACACACGTAAAAAGCCAAAGCTTTATGTTAAGCTTTTTTATTCGTTAAAAAAATCTGAGTTCTGGGCATTATATCACTTCATAACAAAGCTTAAAAACTTCTTTTAAAATTAAGGTATTAGCTTAATTTGGGATTAAAATTTTTATTGTGTAAGAGTCACCTTTTTTTATGTCATAAAATGGAATTTAAGAGTGTATCCTTCCCCCCCCTTGTGTATGGCAGAGTTGGCATGTTTTGGGACTTGAATTCCCTACTGTAGGATATGTTGGGGAAGGGTCTCCTTTACTCTTGCTACAAGTTTGACCATCAGGAGAGCAGTTTTAGAAAAGTATAGAAAGCAGAGATCTGAAACAGAGGTCCGACCACTACTAATGGGGTACCTCCTGTGGTTACTAAGCCTTTATTAGATCCTGACTGCTCCCTATGATTCAGCTGTCTTGTGGATTCTAGCAGCCTTTGCTATATAGTAGTCCTGCCACAATTCTCTGATCTAAGTGTTCCTGATTTATCTGTTCAATGTATTCATGTGGAGTTTAGAAGAATATTTGGAGGGATCCTGTGTAATATTTCTTATTCAATGAGGGAAAGAGAATAACAGAGTATTTTCTTGGTCTGTGGACTTCTAAAGTGTTTGTGCCTGAGTTTGATTTTTGGAAGCAATTCTGGAGCTTAGTAACAAAGTCAAAAGATAATATAAACAAATGATTGGTGCTCTGTGTCTTTTCCCCCCCATAACAGAGAAAAGCTACTGTTCACATAATACAACAGTTAGTGATTGCCAGGTGGTGAATGGCACACAGTTCTGTTCTGGTAAGTATTCACATTGGCTGCTGGGGAAAGTGGCCAAGAGGTGAGGAAGATCTTTGCCTCAGGAAGTCTTCTTTTAATATTTGGTTTGCCATTTCCATAATTCTCATCTTGTTAGAAATTTGGATATAAACGCGTATTCGTACTGATCTAGAAGGACAGTGTTTTGAAGCTTAGTTTAGTGATTTGGGTATACTGTGGAATGCTATAGGTATAGATGACTCCTCCTTTACTTTTTTTTAACTCTTCTGGAAACTTACTGTAGTTCAGATCCTCTCTTTATTTGCATTTTACTGGACTGGACAATCTTGTTCTGGCCCTTCTCCTGATTATGGTGCTGGTGATTGTCACAGTCTCTAGCATAGTTTGTGTTTGGGTTGAATCTTTTCTGTATTCATCTGTTTTCTCATTTTTGTACTTTAATTTGAAGAAATTGGTAACTCTTTAACCTTAACTCTTTGCTCAGGAAATAGTTAAAATTCCTAGATGAAACAGCTGGTTTTTCTAACAAGATTACAAATGGACAGGGAAGTCAAACTTCCAATTTGATGCATAGATAATAAATAGAGCAAAAGAATTTTCTGGAGTGTGTCAGTAACCTTGAAAGACTACCTGTAACAATTTACTTTTAGTAAATTAGTCCAAACTTGAACTTCATGACTGAGAATTTCATTACTGTGACGTCAGTCATCCTCTTTGTAGAGTTCATATAATTTGGTTTAGGTGGTAAAAGAACATTTTTAGTATCTATTTTAATGTGTGTGTCAGAAAAGAATAATTATATCAAACCTGTGGTTTCAAGAAAATAATTGCTTAGAAATAAGGTTAAGTAAAACCTTTTAAAAGATACTAATTTAGAGAAAAATTGAGTAATTCTACTTAATTTGATGATGTATCAGAATTAGTTTGTACTGTGTAGCACTCTACATCCAATAAGGACCCAGGCTGTTTACTGTCATTGCTCAAAAATATCTTTGACCTTATTCTCCGAGGTGAGTGCTCATGTTCCAGCCATCAAATTGGTTTTCCTGCCAACAGGAAGAGGAAAGAGGCCTGTATCTACCTACAGATGCTTTCTAGAAGTTATACTGGGCTACCTACATGCAGGGGAGGCTAAGAAATGTTTGTCTTTCCCCAGGGGAGGGAAATTCAACTATAGATCAGTGCTTCTATTTCTGAAGAAGGGGAGAGCAATATTGGTTAGAGCAACTGTCCGTCTCCTCCACAAGGTGGTACTTAAATGTAAACATCGGAAAAGGGGTATTCAAATGACTGCAATTTGAAAAATAGTGTAATAGATTGTGATATTTTAGATTGCTTTGACTTAATGTTTGTTTGTTTTAAATAGCACCCGAGCCCACTCTGATGCCAACGAATTCTACAGGTAATACAAGATAATTGACTCTTCCCCCCTTTCACGATTTGTAAGGTCTCTTGATGGACTTTTTAGTAATTAAATACCTAAAAGTTAATATAATTTAAAAACTTAGTAGATGTATTTGGTCTTGGACCATAGTGATCACATTAGTATGAACTGCTCGTGCCACTGGCACAGAACTCTAGCAATTCACATTTATTGAATAGGGGAGGATTTGCCATATCTTTGGACATTGAGTCCACAAACTGCTTTTTGTGGATTTTTTTGAAGATCTTGGGAAATACAGAAGCCTAAAGGAAATTAAACTTTCCTATATATGTTCCCATCATCCAGAGGTACCCCAGAGTGTCTTCAGTAATAAGGTTCTCCCAGTCTTCTCTGTGTGTATCTCTCAAGAGATGTACTTATTATGAACTTGGATAATATACCCATGCACATTTGGATTGTTTTTTCTCTTACATTGTTGTATACACTTCACTGTCCTACACTTGGTTAGATAGTTAGGTTGTCTTTCATTCTCCATGTAGCAGATGTCCTACAGGGAAATATTTGCTCTTATCCTTGATAGGTTTGATTCAAACAGCATTCTTAGGTCAGAGGATAGGATTATTTTAAGACTGAATATTGATTGCTTTCCAGAAAGATACGCTTTTCATTTCCAAGAACAACTGGAAAGTTTTCACTACCCCTTCAACAGGATTAGATAATTTCTCCTTTCAAAAATCTTTACCAAAGTGATAACGAGGAATAAATCATTAAAAAACAACTACTCCAGGACAGGTAGTAGGTAGGCTGGATGATAGGGATTGGAAACAGAAGACGGCATTTCGTCTATCATAGGAACTGTGAAAAGGGTAAGTAAGCGCAGACATTTGTAGGAAGGTGTGTATATGGAGTAATATGGCAAATATGGTGACAGCTTCCTGGAGATGCTGACTGAATCTTGAAATGACCCTGGTAAAACCTGAGGACAGCTTCCCCAGTGGAGCAAGGCGGTCAGTATATGTGAAGGAGATGTGAAAGAGTATAGTGAGGTCAGGGAATTTCATTTGGAAGTGCACGGTGAGGAATGGTTGAGCTGGACAGTCAGCAGGTCAAGAGCCAGATTGGGAGGACAGATTGGAACAGGAGACAAGAGTGAACACAGGCAGATTAGAATAGATAACCTGTGCTGGGATCTGGAGAACTAATAGGGGAAGAGTTGCAGGTGTATGCAAATAGACTTGGGAAGTAGGAGGGATAGGACTTGGAGGTGATGGCAGACTCTTAGCTGAGAGTGCGGTGAGCTGATCAGTGTTAAGGCAGGACTGTCCACTGGCGCAGCTTGTAGAGAGACCAAACTCCAGGCGACGGTAATGTCTAAGGGTTGAGAAGACCAGAGAGGAAGCTGAGTAGGGAGGGGCAGACAGGTGTGTCCAGGAAACTGTGTGTGTGTGTGTGTGTGTTTTAGGTATAGTTTTTCAGAAGAAAAAGTGGTCAGATGATGTAGCAAGGACCAGAACTCATTTTGAAAGACTTGGGCAGTGGTGAGCTAGCTCATAGCAGGTTTTGGTAGCCAGCCAGTGATACTGTGTTGGTAGCTTGAATTACGGTGGAAATATTCGTGCCATAGAAATCTGCAAATGCTTCAGAACTTTTGGAGAGTACACAGGGGTAGCACGCATTAGAAGTCACTGACTAGGAGGATGTTAAAGACTGATGAAAGCAGAGAAGTTGAGAGAAAATTAATTTCCAGAAGGTGGGACGTGAACCGAAAGGCGGAAAGGGGGGAAACAGTTTCTTCAAAACCACTGTGGGTTCATTTTTAATTTCTTCTCCATGAACCTTGATGTAGTTTTCATGCTTGATCCACACTGGGTTCTCCAGTGAAGTACCATGGAGTCTCTTGTTTTCTCTCTCTGGTTCTGTAAGTGAAAGGAAACCAGGGCTTGCTTATAGAAAATGCATCTGTTGAGTGGCAATTAGTGGTTGAAAAACAAACCTTTATATGGTCTCTTTCCATGGCTACTGCTAAAAGAGAGCAAGTGAGAAATTAAGGGATTATTAAAGAAAGGATGCAAAGAGAATCTGATTTATGTAGAAAGGTGCTTATTGGGGTTAATTAAAATAGTCTTCTGTTAGTACTGATAAATAGTATAAATAAAAATACTGGTAAATAACCTCTTACAATAGAATGACTAGATTATGTCAGAAATATAGTGGGAAATATTCATAATATATTAAGTGGGAGACAAACCACTAAGTTCTACTTTTTAAATTTTTCTGTTACATAAATGCCTAGAGAAATGGCCGGCAGGAAGTAACATGTTACTTTGAGTGATGGGATTACTAAATTTACTGTATTTTTAAAATTGTCCATCACCAATAGCAGCTTTTGTAACTGCTGAATTATTATTTTTTTATGAAAGGAACATACTGTAGGTCAATAGAAATATATTCCGTAAATATTGTGTAATCTTGAAAATTTTGCCAAAGTAATACTTCGGTCAAAAGTAAAAGTGTGTAAATGTTTTGCCTATTTACAAAAAATAGAATTAGTGTGTGCGGTGTTCATAGGGTTGGTAGTAAGAATCAAAAGGCAAATTTGCAAACTTGTTTCCCTACCATTGTCAGACAAAATTTAAAAAGTATTTTAAGATTGAAAAGAATATATGCTTGTTTAGTTTGTAAAGTGTTATTTTTTGCAGCAACTTTTTAAGGGATTAAAAATCTGAAAATAATCAGACCCTTTAATCTAGGAATTATGTTTAAGAATCAACCCTATGAGAGATGAGATCAGCTATTTCCCTGCCAGGTGTTTATAGTATGGAGAAATGAGAGATGACCTAATTGTCCATCCAAGAGCAGGGTAGGGAAAATGTGTGCGGCAGTGCTCATAGTGAGAGAAAAGGATACAAATATGTAACCCGTCAGTATTCTTAACATGTCATTGACTAGAATCTGTTAGTAGTTATCAGTACTAACAGAAGTCTGTTACTACAGTGCTTTGGTTCCTGAAATGTGTTTACATTCAAATTAATTCTTCTCACAGGAGTTCATTTTCTTTACAGGCATCATCAGATAATTTAAATTGGGGGATCTGTGGCCCCAAGGGACCTGTTCTTAAAATTTTATTGGAATGGAACGATGCCTATTCATTTGCACGTTGTCTTTGGCTGCTTTTGCACTACGCACTGCACAAAGCCTAAAATATTTACTCTCTGCCCCTTTAAGAAAGTCCGCCAGCCCCTTCAAGTGAAGAATATAAGCCAACCTTGATACTTGCTTGAGAGATCCTGAGCCACACTTGTTTCTTACCATGACTTTTTAAGTTAATAGTTTTTGTCATAGAAGCATAAAAAAACCTATAGTTCCCTCACCTAAACACTGATTCTTGCCCTCCTGTGTGTCTTTTTGCAAAACTTTATCTAGATGTATACGTAGATTTCCTACTTAGATATATAGATTGATGTTAACATAGATAGAACTTCATAATTGCTTTGTGTTTTCAAAAGTGTAATTTAAAGGCTAGTAGTCTGGCTATGTAGGTGTGTTAGTGAACCACTACCTGAAATCTGGCCTTTATTTAAAAAATGGAAAGCATGTTGAAGTTGGCAGCATTATTTTAAAAAGACAAATGGCTAGGTACTAGGAGGTTTGGAAATGTAAGTTTGTAGTAAGTTTTGTTTCTATCACAGCCAGAACCACCACCCTGCCTGCCTCTACGACAGCCACCACCACGGCTACTACATCAGGTAATGGGGGTCACACTAACGGTGGGGTAGGACGGGCTGCAGCCCTGCCTTATACTGTTTTTGCCACCATTTTCCAGTTGCTTTCATGAATGGCTGTGAACCAAACATTTGGAGGACCAAGATTGTAGGCTTTTAATGCAGTAATGGTAGGTTGGCTGCGAGTCCTCAGTTTTTAATGTGTAGCCACGTTTGGCATGACACATGAGAGTTAAGAGAGAGTGTTTTTCTAAAATCCTTTTACTACGACTTGTAGGTGAGATCTCATTTCTTATAAATTAAATACTGATGACTGTTAGGGATTAGTTGTATGCTGTGCTAGATCGTGGCAATTGCAGTGAAGATAGTAGAGCCGTCCTTTTTGCTGAGAAAGGCCTAAAAAGCCAAGATCACTGCAGATGTGCACCTCAGCCATATTCCTCACTGTTTCTTTACATTCCTTTATAACTCTTAAAAGTGCATGTGAAAAGTAACTTTACTAATTAATGAGTTGATGTATTATAAACTAAATCATATTTAGGTGATGCCATAGGACGTTGCAGATAACACAGGTTACGAATCCTCTCTATCCCTATTTAAAATACTGGTGTTTGTTTTTGTTTTTAAAGATTTTATTTATTTATTTGACAGAGAGAGACACAGCGAGAGAGGGAACACAAGCAGGGGGAGTGGCAGAGGGAGAAGCAGGCTTCCCGCAGAGCAGGGAGCCCGATGCAGGACTCAATCCCAGGACCCTGGGATCATGACCTGAGCCGAAGGCAGACGCTTAATGACTGAGCCACCCAGGCGCCCCTTGTTTTTGTTTTTGTAAATTCTTTTGGCTTATTCTTGTGCTACCTCTCTTAGATTCAGGGAAACCATTTTGTCTTCGCAAGAATTACAGAACGGTTGTAATTAATTTTAAAGCTTGGGGTGCCTGGGTGGCTCAAGTCAGTTAAGCATCTGCCTTTGGCTTAGATCCTGGGATTGAGCCCCACATCGGTCTCCTTGCTCAGCGGGGAACCTGCTTCTGCCTCTGCCCACCTGCCACTCCCCCTGCTTGTGCTCTCTCTCTTGATTGCTGTCTCTCTCTGACAAATAAATAAATAGATAATCTTAAAAAATTTAAAGCTGTCCAGCTTACTAAACAGCCACCAGAACCAGTGTTTATTTGAAACTCCACAAAAAAATTTATTTTAAATCTGAAATTGCTTTTTATTAAAATGGTGCTCAACTTGAAACCTTCTACTCCCTAAAAAGAAATTTATGTTCTGTTTCCTCTTAAAGCATTTTATTCCCTGAAAAGGGAATTCAAACTTTTGTGCTTTTATTCCATATGGTTTGGTAGTGCTCATAATACAAAATTTTAGAGTAAGATTTACAATACCTTTAATAACAAGTTCTTTTGTTTGTTGAAATTATAAATTGCAGATACTTAAGATAATTTTTGTACTTTGAAAAATTGCAACTGAATTTTTGCTTACCTTGTATATTTAGTAAAATTCAAAAGTTATATGAATTCCCAACACAGATATTAATATTTACTGTAACAACAACATGTTATCTGAAGAAATTGCAAATTTTTAAAGTGCTTGACACGTTCTCAGGGCATAATTTATGTACCAGGAGAATCTTTTTCTGTCATTTCCATATTTGAATTTCTATGGCAGCTTTGACCACTTGTTATCACTGGATGGAGTAAATGGGATCAATTCTAGTTGTAAAGACTTGACTCAAGAGCAAATACTTTATAGAATTTAACTCATGGCAAAGTCAAAGTAGAAGCTCAGGTGGGTCTTGAAATTATGGGGAGAGGATCATGGGACTTCCTGAGTCTTGTTATTTTTTCCTTCTTCTTTACCAGGTACAACTAATACCACTTTAACTCCAACTTCGCACCCCGGCCGGAAGTCTACCTTCGATGCAGCCAGTTTCATTGGGGGGATTGTCCTCGTCTTGGGTGTGCAGGCTGTAATCTTCTTTCTCTATAAATTCTGCAAATCGAAAGAACGAAACTACCACACTCTGTAAACAGACCCATTAAATTAACAAGGACTGGTGTGCAACTCACTGAAACCAAAATATTCTCTTTCAAGATGTCCCACAGGGAAGACGCTATTCCGGGATCTTTACATGTTCAAAGGATGCATATAGGATACTTGGGAGCATCGTCCTCGAAGAAAAGTCACTTAGGTCATTTTGCTCAACAGGAATATTTCAAATACTCTGCATGAATCCTTGTGGCTGTCTTCTTTTATTTTAAATGGCTGCTGCTGTGGGATTATGTTATCTCTTCTTGACGTACCAAATGTAATTCTGTAAGTGAGGGGAAGCATCGTCCTGCACAGACAACCTCATGACTCTTTTGGCAGTTTAAATTTAGTCATTTTAAAGCCTGAAAGCTGCATTATTGTCATCCTATCTCAGGATGTAGTTTAGTGACCAGAATTGAGAAGAATGTGCCAAATGAGCATCAATCGGGTGGACTTTGGCTGTCCTTTCAAAAGTGGAATAAATCTATAAATTTAGTATCCTTAGAGTAACATTTTGTGCTTGATGACAGTTATTTTTTCTACATTAGAAATAAGATGCCACACAGGGAATTACATTCCAGATTTAAAGAAACAAATAGGATACAAACCGTTAACAAATAGCAGGTTATCGCTCATATCTGTAAAGCACCTTAAATCACTGAGAAAATAAAGAACAGTGCCTTAAAAGACAGACTGAAAGGTAGACTGTAACTTCAGATGTTTGTGATTTGTTCTTTCCACATTAGGGAAGGTAAAAGTTGGTCTGATGATGTAACTTGAGCTGTAGCAAACCTGCTTTTAGTAGATACCATACTGTTAGCATTTAATTGAAAACTTACTATTTTATTTCAGACCTGAGCAAGTTAAGCTAAAGGATGTTCTACAAAGTTGAAAGCCTTCGTATATTGTACTTCCCAACATTTTTCTTAGGCTGTTAAAAAGTATAAAGTTGATGTACTTACATTTTCCTTTGTGCTTCACGAAGTATCCTGACACTGTTATACCTTGAAAGGATTTTCACCAAGTTTCCTTGAAAACTTTTTCAATGAGGCAAGAAGGAAATCAGTTGTTTTAGGGTCATTTACTAACTCTTGAATGAGACAAACATTTTAAGTTTTGAGACCAGAAATGTGACCAGTGTAATTTCAGAAAATCTAAGGATTTTCACTTGATTGGATTAATGTAGATTTTTGATGATGATTGCGCGGATAGACAGGTGGTGCTCTCTCTCCCCTTTCTCCTCTCTCCCATCCTTTCTTCTGAGTTTCAATTCCTGTAGTGTAATAAGCATGCAGACTACAGTTTTTTGTTTTAGTTTTCTTAGGAAGCACTAGTTTTTTTAGTTTTAGAGGGATACTTCTCCCCTGCCTTTGACATATTGGATTAGTTCAGAGGTTTTCATTAGTTTTAAAAGAAGCTTTTGCTTTTGTAGGTCATTAAAGTTTTTTTTTAGTTTCTTTAGCCTATAGAGGCTGAGTTTAGCACTTGGTTTTCAAATATTTTGTAGTAGGAACTGATGAGTTGCTTTGGTCCATTTCATAAGCCAAAATTCCTTGCATTTAGATATGATTATATTCAAGGTTCTTAAAATGAAGATTTTACTGTTTCTTTGTTACTGCCAGTACAGCTAAAGTTTGTTTTACTTGCACATTTGTACGTACACTTAATGTTTTCAAGTGCCTTAATTGTTTAAAATCTCTGGCTTCAAAGGTTTTTGGGAATAGGTAGGATTTACCTCACATTTTTGTGTTTTCATTAGTAATATTCTGATATCAGTTCTAGGAACCTCACAGAAATTTTTATTATGGTGCCATGGCTGTTTTTAGTGAGTGCTGTAAGATCCAAGAATCATTTGAAAATATACAGAATATCCATTTCTCCCAAAGTGGCAAAATTTAGCTACAGTGGTATATAATTATTATTTGCCTAGATGCGAATACCTTGTCACACATAAATGTCAATACATACAGCAATTTTTGTGAAAATGTAGCTGATGAAGCTTCTCCTCTTCTCCTCTTCTGTAATTCTGAATACTGCTCTGACAACAAAACCGTAATATGAAACCAGTTAGATTTTGCAAGAAGAGCTCTTAACAACAGAACTCATGGCCTTCCACCCCTCCCCCTTCCTTTAGTATCTTGAGCCATTTGGGTTGGTTTGTTTTTTTTTAATCCAGAAGGTATATAGAAACCTTTTCAGATTTTTCTCTTGATTTGTTCATGTGGATGTAGTTCTATCAAAACACCTGATTTTACCTTACAGATATTTGTTGCACAGGCAGACGCTGCTGTATTTAGAAATTCCTATTTCGGTTCATTAAAAACTGCAAAACCAATCTGTATCATGTACCAAACTGATTTAAAATAAATCTACATGTTTATTGAATTAATCTGTTCCTTTTTATTAACTGAAGTGTTTTTGCATTTTGATTATGAAATTTAATGTTAGTTGAATTTACCTTACCAGTCTGTTTGGGGATGGGTTGTCTACTCTCTTTTTATTGCTCTCCAAGACCAGCAGATCGTAAGCTACGCATTCATCAGTGCAGGACAGAGCTTTAGAAACTTGCAGTGCTTTAGTGCTTTCAGCACTTCAATGATGTCGTTCCGGTGTCTTCTCACTCGCATCGTTGTTCTCGGGAATTCTCTCTCGCATTGTTTTCGGGGAAATCTCACTCGCATTGTTGTTCTCGGGGAAATCTCACTCGCATTATTGTTCTCGGGGAATTCTCACTCGCATTGTTCTCAGGGAAATCTCACTTGCATTGTTCTCCTCGGGGAATTCTCACTTGCATTGTTGTCCTCGGGGAAATCTCACTCGCATTGTTCTTCTCGGGGAAATCTCACTCGCATTGTTCTCCTCGGGGAATTCTCACTCGCATTGTTCTCCTCGGGGAATTCTCACTCGCATTGTTCTCGGGGAATTCTCACTCGCATTGTTCTCGGGGAAATCTAACTCGCATTGTTCTTCTCGGGGAAATCTCACTCGCATTGTTCTCCTCGGGGAAATCTCACCCGCATTGTTCTCCTCGGGGAAATCTCACCCGCATTGTTCTCCTCGGGGAATTCTCACTCGCATTGTTCTCCTCGGGGAATTCTCACTCGCATTGTTCTCGGGGAATTCTCACTCGCATTGTTCTCCTTGGGGAAATCTCACTCGCATTGTTGTTCTCGGGGAATTCTCACTCGCATTGTTGTTCTCGGGGAAACCTCTTCATCTTCTGTTCCTCTGCACGTGTCTTTGTTTTCCTTTGTTGCTTTTTGAGATTTTTCTCTATCACTGGTTTGAGCAATTTGATGATGATGTGCTGTGCTATCATTTCTTGTGCTTGGGGTTTGTTGGGTTTCTTGGATATATGCTTTTCATCAGCTTTGGACATTCTCCGCTGTTAATTCTTCAAATATTTTTTTCTATCCTTCCCCTTCTCTGGTGGGGATTTGGTCATCCATGCACTGTTTAGTTTTTTAATCTTTTTCTGTTTCATTTCAAATTACTGTGTTCAAGTTCACTAATGGCTTGAGTTTATCTGTTAATCTTACCCAGCGTGTTTTTCATTTCAGATGTCTTCATTTCTAGTTCATTTTGGATGTTTTTATATCTTTCATGTCTACATATCCATTCTTTAGTTTTTGAACATACAGTGGGTTTCGTTGGTGTTTTTTTTTTTTTTAATGCCTATGTCTGCTAATTTTAATACTGGGTCAGTTTGATTTTTTTGCTCATCATGGGGTCATACTTTTCCTGTTTCTTTGCATGCAAGATGTAAGTTATAACCCGTTGGGTGCTGGTTATTTTTGTTCTGGGACAGAGAAAACAGTTTGATCCTTTTTAGGTCTTGAGTTTGAACTTTGGTTAGGTGAGAGAAGAGCAGCATTCATTGGAGGGCTAATAGTTGCCCAGTTCTGAGGCAAGACCCTTCTGAGTAGTCAGTGTCCCTGGATTATGAGGCTTTCTAGTCTGGGCTCTGGGGACAGGCTCTGTTCCTAGCCTTGTGTGGGCTTCCCGGTGCTGTTTCCTGGGAACATTTGCCCAGGCGTGGGTAGTTAATCTCATGCGTATGCTGATCAATATGTTGCTGAGACTGCACTCTGCAGATCTCCGGAGTTCTCTTTCTGGGGCCTTCCACCCTGGTGCTCTGCTCTGGAACTCCAGCTGCCTTCAGCTGCCTTGACTTTCAACTCAGGAAGCTCACTGGGCTCTGTCTGCGTGTCCTCTGCCACATCATGGCTTAGAAATCCAAGGCAGGCTGGGTCAATAGTTTCCTGTCTTTCAAGGATTGCTGTCCTTTGCCCAAAGTCCAGTGTGTTGAAAACTACTGTTTCGTGTGTGTTGTCCAGTTTTTCAGTTTGAGAGTAAATGCGGTCTCTTACTTCATTTTGCCCAGAAGAAAAAATTCAAGATAGGGATTTTAAAGTTTTAATTTTTAATTCAAGGAACATACAAATACATACTCTTAAGTTTTTTTTTTTCTTAAACTATACAAGATAAGTGTGTCTGCTTTGACCGTCCCTCAATCCCTTCCCCTTGCTTGTTCCTTCACTTTGCAGAGGTAATTACTGGAACTGGTCTGATGTTAAACTCCCCCTCTGCCAGCATTGTTTATATACTCTCTGTATCCTTAGAAAATACATAATGTGGATTTTTGTTTTAACATCAGCCTGCAACAACTTCTCACTACTTCTTGGAGATCTTTCCAAGTTAGTGTACGTAGCTATACCAAATTCTTAAATTCTCTTAAGGTCATATGTAATGTGAGTATCATAAGTATCTACCTATTGAAGGATAGTAGGTTTGCAGTTTTTAGTTTTTAGTAACACTTTTGCAGAGCGTATCTTTGCACCTGCCCCCTTGTTTATGTGTGAATTTCTCTCGAGTAAACATGGAGAAGTGGAGATCTGCATCATAGGGTTTGCACTTTGAACTTTTTATATTTAACTCATTTTTTTAACTTAAATTGATATATAGTGTATTATTAGTTTCACAGGTGGAGTTCAGTGCTTCATCAGTCTTATGTAATACCCAGTGCTCATTACATCATGTGCCCTCCTTAATGTGCATCACCCAATTACCCCATCCCCCGCCCCCTCCCCTCTAGCAACCCTCAGTTTGTTTCCTATGACTAAGAGTCTCTTATGGTTTGTCTCCCTGATTTCATCTTGTTTTATTTTTCCCTCCCTTACCCTATGCTCCTCCGTTTTGTTTCTTAAATTTCACATGTGAGTGAGATCATATGATAATTGTCTTTCTCTGATTGTCTTATTTTGCTTAGCATAATACCTTCTAGTTCCATCCACACTTTCTACATTTTAACAGACTGAGATTGCCTTCCAATTTCCACCAGCCAGGGTACCTGAGAGTTCTATATCCTTTCCATCTGATGTTGGCAAAGTTAAATTTTAATACTCTGGTGAGTGAAATGATTTACTTGGTTACTGTCCTTAATTTGTACTTCCTCTGTGAATTGTCTTTTTTTATTGTTTTTTCTTAATTGTAGGATTTTTTTTAAAGTTTTTATTTATTTGAGAGAGAGAGAGATCACAGAGGCCGTGGGAGAGGGAGAAGCAGGCTCCCTGCTGCACAAGGAGCTGGATGCTGGGCTTGATCCCAGGACCCTGAGATCATGACCTGAGCCGAAGGCAGACGCTTAACTGACTAAGCTACCCAGGTGCTCCTTAATTGTAGGGTTTTTTATCTTAAAATGTGCTGGGTTCTCATCTATGGTCAACGGATTTTCTTTAATATTTTCTTCAAGTCTTTGTCTTTGATTATCGTGTCTGTATCACCGGATTACAATCAGGAGATAGAAGCCACATAATACAAACAGAGGAAGTTTGACCTAAGAGTGGATTGGAGTAATAGGACATATTATCTGTAATATTTTAAGAAATACAAACAAAGCAGTAAAGCATTCTAAAGAATACTGGCATGGAAATAGAAGTGGCCACTATCTGTTCTCCCTCAAGCCAGAAATAATTAGGAAATAGCCGTGACTCTCTGGATGAAGTTTGTGGTAGCTGCAAATCCACTACCAGGCAGCTATGGGGAAATGATATACCAGTGGTAACCTGTGAAGTTATCCAAGGGATGCAAGGTAAGCCATGCACAGGAGGTACCACACCAGGGACACCCCACTGCTAAGCTGTGTGCACTGCTAGAGTTTTGCCCAGAACCAGGAAAAGAAATTCCTCCAGTACTGTCTACTGACAAAACATCATGCCACCTAGCAAAGAAGTATTCACTCATATGGTTCAACTCCATTGTCATAATGGTGGAGTGGGCAACAGGTGGATTCAAAGCTTAAAGCCCTTCTTTCTGTTGATTTATGACCTCCCACTATTTAATATTTATTTTGCCCTTGCTGAGAATCTCAAGTGGTCAGTTCTTTTCCTGGTGGTGACCCAAATATTACTACCAAAGGGTCTGAGTCTTCCATTGTTCTACCTGTTTTGGTTGCATAGTTTTTCATTAATCTTTACTATTGGGTATGGAACTACTCAAGCACCCAGAGAACCCTCTTGTTCCAGATACAGTCCTTGCCTCCATTGTGTACCAGCAATACAACCTCCCTTTGGTAATCAGGATTGACCATTCCAGCCAGTAGGGGTAACACCTTTTGCGGCCTATTGGTTTAGTGGCTTATGAATCCCAAGATGGTCAAGTGGCAGTCTCATTTTAGGTCTTATATCAATAGAACCATTGTTGTGTCCCTGGTTGAAACAAATCTTGGGAACTAAGACCTCCAAACCAGCTCAGCTTAAGGTTCCTGAGATGAGAAGTATAATTCTGAGGAGTCTTGCCCACTTCTACCCCTGATTCCTGGGTTCATATGCTACCTCCTGTGAGACAAGTCCATCCTTTCAAGGTGGTATCTCCCAACAATTCCAACTGAGTTTTCAATGAATTATTCCACCTTTCAATCAGACCAGCCCCTTCTGGGTGTTGGGGGATGTTAATTTCACAGGCATGAGTTCACCTCAACATTTCCTTTACTGTGAAATTGATTCCTTAATTAGAAGCCGTGCTATAGGCAATGCCATGACAGTGGATAAGGCATTCTGTGAGTATGTGTATCAGATAGTAGTGCTGGCAGAAGCCTTATAGACCATACCCAGAATGTGTGTGTATTCTACTCAAGATGAATCTCTGTCCTCTATGATGGAAAAGGCCCAATGTAACCAAATTGCTATCACATGGATGGCTGTTACCCGTGAGATTAATACCATATTGCAGCCTCAGTATTGGCCTCAGCTCTTGACAGATTAGGCAGTAGTGGGTAGTGCATGTCAGCCTTGGTAAGGGGAGATCCATGTTGTTGAGCTCATGCATAGCCTCTAGCTCTGCCACCATAGTCACGTTGTTCATGGGTCCACTGAGCAAGTCCTGGGGTAGCTGGGGAATGAGACTGACTGACACCCGTAGAGTGCATTATTTTATCCACCTGATTAATAAGAGGCTTCTTTGCTGTAGATGCCCTTCAGTGACATGGGCTACGAATATCTTCACAGTGTGTTCCCATTCCGAGATCCATCCACATACCTCTTTCCACATTTACTTGTCACCAACCTTTACTATTTCCTCCAAGTCTCTGACTCTCCAACCAAACCATTAGCAACTACCCAAAAATGAGTGTGAATTTGTACTTCTGGCCATGTCTCAGATCAGACACAGTGGACAGTCAAATGTACTACTTGCATTTTGCACAGGGAAGATTTTCTTGCACTCCTTTTATTTAGGCTTGCTCTTGAGTGGAGGGTGGGGGTACAGCTGTCCACCTTTGGGTGGATCCAATATATCCTACAGACCTATCTATAAACCAGGTTTGATGTTTTTTTTTCTTGGCTAGCTAGTTGTTAGAAACACCCCAGACCAGAGGTATTGACTGAGGAAGAGGAGGCAACAGGAGTTGGTGTTGAAAGAGTCTGAGCCACATGTTCATGGAAGCTATTTGTACCTTTCAGAAGTGTTCCAGCAAGTTAACAATTGTAAACTATTTCCATTGATGATAGATTGCTGCTGTGCATGCTCAAGTTTATGACTAGGTAGATTCTCCAACACCCAACTCATGATGTGAAGGTCAGGCTACCTGCTCACCTACCATCCCATGGCTGGGTCATCAGTCTCTATAAGGCATAAAAGGAGAATAGTTATCTTCAAAAGAGGGCATGGATTTGCTCCAAAATCCTAGGGTTAAGCCCTGTGTTTCTGCTTGACAAAGGCTCTATACATGCCGGGACACTTTTAGAATCACCTGCTCTGCTGGATCATAAGACCTATATGGCAGAACAGCTTATACTGTAACTCAAATTCATGACAGAACCTTCTCTTGCTCTGCTCACCACTCAAAATTGGTAATCTTATAGGTAACTCTAGAGGTGGGTTGAAATAGCAAACTCAAATATGGTACATGTTGCCTTCAAATCCAGAAAGGCCTACTGAGCATCATGCCTTTTTTTCATGGTATATAGTGTGAGCTGAAGCAAACTGTCTTTCTCCTTAGAGGGAGATATTTAACATGCTCGAAACCACTGAACCCACCCAGAAACTACACGGGTTAATAGCCCTAAATTTCTGTGGAATTGTTTCTTTTACCTTCTAGTTCTTGCATGTTTTACTAAGGCGCCAAAATATTTACTGCCTCCTACTCGTCATATCCAATCAGCATAATGTTACCAACATAGGGGACCAATGTGATTTTTGTAGAATATCATGATGATCAAGGCCTCTACAGACTCTATCATGGCAGAGAGTAGAATTGACAAAGTCTTAAGGCCAGACTTCAACAGTATACTGCTGCCGTACCAGGTAAAAAGCTAACTGCTCCTCATGGTCCTTACAATTTGTTACGGAACAAAAGGTGTAAGAAATTGGGTCAACAACCCCATAACAAATGCCAGGAGGATACTCATTTGCTCCAGTAAAGATACTACATCTGAGATAGCAGCTGCAATTGGAATCACCACCTCATTAAGATGTGAACCTGATAGTCCGTAGTCATTTTCCAAGATCCACCTGTTTTCTGCACAGGCCAAAGTGGTGATTTAAGTGGCAGTGTGATAGGTATCATCACCCTTGTTTCCTTTAAGTTGTGATGGTGGCATTAATCTCTGCAGTTTCCCCACGGATATAATATTGCTTCTAGTTTACTTTCCTGAGAGGGGAAGTTCCAGGGGCTTCCAATGATCTCTTCCTACAATAATGAGCCTTCAACTCATGGGTTAAAAACCAATATAGGAGTGTTTTCAGTTGTTATTATGTCTATTCCAATTATCCATTCAGGAACTGTGGAAATAACCACATGGTGGGTCCATGGATTGACTGGGTCCACTGTAATTTGAACCTGAGACTCCTTCTGTTACCTCACTGTAAGCCTTCATTTTGACTGGTGAGCCACAGCGTGTTTTGTGTTCCCAGGAATTACAATTTTATTTTTTAGGAAGGTTCCATACAAAATGTGGGGCTTGAATTCATGACCCTGAGATCAAGAGTCACAACGCTCTACCAACTGCGCCAGCCAGGCATCCCTTGTGTTCCCAGGAATTAGAATTAATTTGGAGGTAGTGCCTATTCTTCACCAAATAGTCTAGATATTTCTTTTTCTCTGATGAACAGTAACTCTAGGAAATGATTACAGATCCCTTAGGAAAATGTTTTGAAGAAGATTTATGATGTGTACCTACAGCAGTGGTATAGGGTCCTTTCTCAAGGGGATCCAGCCTCCCAAGAGGTCAAGGTCTGTAAATTGACTTAGGTATGGAATCTGAGAGACTATGACTCTCCTCTGTGCTAACTCAAGCCAGGTGTTTGGCTACCAGAGTCTTTCCTGTTGTATAGATCAAGCAATATTTTAATTGGCTGCCCATATGATTTCATTCAGGGGGACACGCTAACCACCAAAGATACCTAAGTGCCAGGTCTATAATCTGAATACTGATATGTCCCTGATGCCCTTTATAATAGACATACCCACCTTGTCCTTGGCAGTTGCCTTCTGCTATTCTGGGATTGCACCATGACCATTGAAATGAGAGCCCATCTCAATAGCAATGAGAAATGACAGGATTGTGATTTCAACTGTCATTATCATTTAGCATTCTGCACAATTAAAATTTATGCTTGATTTTTTAGCAGTATTACCCCTGTGACTACAAGAAATAAGAGATTTTTTTTTTAAAGGGTGCCGTGGAAGCTCTCTGGTTTTCAGACCATGATCTGAGCTGAGAATTAAAGGACCAGAGCTTGTCATTTTCTTCTGTAAGTGCTAAAGTGTTATACGCAACAAACGAATCATTGAACACTACATCAAAAATTAATGATGTAATATACAGTGGCTAATGGAACATAATAAAATAAATAAATAAAATGAAGTGCATCCAAGAAAGTCCATCCCACACCCCAGTATTTATGGTCATCATTATTGCCATGAGAGTCAGTATAGTAGCAAATTAGGCTCCCAAGGCATATGCTTCAGTAGGCTTCATCACAATCAACCACGGGTAATAACTTGGTAAGTTGTCATGCCACTGCATGCAAAGGATTACTAGTATTCCATTTCTTATTGTCAAGGAGCTCAGCACTGTGTTCAAGCCCAAGGGTGCAATGAAACAAATCCCCAAACCCCATTTTTGTGAGTCTGTCCCCTAAGACCACTCCACTACTGGTATCAGTTCTGTATTACTCATGGGCCAATTAAGAGATAGAAACCACCCAGTAATCAAATTGTGAGAAAGTTTAATATAAAGGATTATTAACTATAACAAGGGGTTGAAGTAATGGGAGGATTGGCTGGGAAGCAATAAAGAGAACTCTGAAGAATATAGGGATAGCAGAAATAGTGAGCAGCCACTACCCTCCAGAGCTGACATCCATTGGAGAGGGTGTGACCAAGGCTCACTGGATGGCAGAGAAGGTCATTGAGGCTGGGAAGCAGCCCTCACAGAAGGGGAGCAGGAGGAGAAAGCCCTTCACAGAAGGCACCATGCCAGTGGCCCTCCACCAGGAAGCTGCATGCTCTTCTGAGCATTCCTGCACTGAAGCCTGGTGCTACAGAAGCCATGGACATGGCAGGAGCCTGCCAAGAGGAGCACCCCAGAACCTCCTTCTCCAAGGTCCCTTCAGTACTCTCCCCTGACAAAGCTTAAAATCTTGCAGTGGGCAAAGAAGAAATATTTACAGGGTCCATATTAATCATATCACAGCAGACAAGAATGAATTTAGAGCTGAGAGGCATAAATTAATAACTGGTACCATACCTAGTCATGCTGAATTTTTAGCTTTGACATCAAAGTCATCAATCTTCCTCTTAGCTTTTGTTTTTCATGTTCTATTTCAGAAATAAGTTTGTGTGTGTGTCTTTGTGCATGTGTGTTTGTGTGTGTGTGTGTGCACGCATATAGATCTTGAATCCATTCGGGATTCATTTTGTATAGTGTAAGTGATAATTTATTCTACTTCAAATAGACTCAACCTTATCCTTAATTTGAAAAACTATATATATCATATTTAAGTTTATGTATGTAGATGTTTCTCTGGTCTGTTCTGTTCCAGTCATCTACCTATTTATTCCCTTACCCAGGATACATTTTCTTGTCTGAACAATAAGACTTGGATCAGGACTTTACAAAAGTCTGAAGAGGGTTTCAGTATTTGTAGGAAGGATAAAAAACTGTTAAGAGAGGATGATGTTTTTAAGTGAAACAAATAGAAATAAGTGCTCTGAAGTTTATTTAGATTAATCCGTTCTGGTTTTTCATTTGCTAATAAATACTGCTTAGCAGCAATGCCCTCTCTCCTGGTTCCCACCACCTCATCAGCAATCTAGAACCCATAATGAGAGGCTGTTGCTTGACCAAAGGCAAGGCCTAGGTTGTAGAAATGTGGATCAACTCTAAGTTCTCAAAACCTAAGGCCAAACCCTACCTCACTCGGGACATTCGGATATAATCATCTCAGTCCTTCCACACTTAGTACTCTTCATAGTACTTTAATAAAAATTAGGTAAAGTTTTAATGGAGGTTAGAATCATTTTTATTCATTCAAATGCTCAAGGAAACAAAATGTGGAAAAGCATATATGATTACCAGTCAGGTCCTTATGGGATTATAGATGGAGCTGTGCGAACTTGAAAAGCTGAATGTTGAACATTTTCTGCCACATTGGGTAGAAAGACGTTGTCAGACCTTTTTTTTGTGTTTAATAGGTACCTGTAATATAAAGATTAAATAGATATTGGAGATATCATTAAAAGTCACTGTTACTCATAAGACCAAGATCATTGGGTCAGTCTGGGTTAGGCCATTTAGGGTGCCTTCTTGTATTTGCCACTTGTCATAAAGGGAACTGGTCATGAATTAAATCTATCAACAGAAAGCCATTTTCATCTAAGGAAAAAAGATATCCCATATGTGGAGTAATCTAAAAGTTCCTTAATAGTTTATCATTTGTCTTAGTGCAGTGTTTTGTTTTATAGAAAATCATTGGCGGTCTTACATTCCAGCTATGTATAAATTCCTCTTCAGTCTGTATTTATCTGATTTGTCTCATAGGCCTTTCTTAAGAAGCCAGAGCTTAGATTCGAAGAGCCTCCAATTCTTTTGTGCCTTTCCTGGACCTTAGGCTTTTTGCTTGGGGTTTTTATAGTGTACACGAGTTAATGGGCCACAAAACACTCTACTTATTAGGGTTTGTTTAGAGCATCACCCTTTTGAATCTTTCGAATACAGTGGATCTCCTCAAATGCATTTAGTGACTTAAGCAGCCTTCTTAGCCATGAGTTATAATCCTCAACTACCTCCATGAGAGCAACATTTGCTTTTGGGAGTGAAATGGGGATGGAGTGAATCTTAAAAGCCCTTGTGGTCCCATACACACCAACTGAATATTGCTTCCTTTTGGAAAAGGCTTTTTCAGAAACAAACAGCCATATACTAGAATTTCACCTTTTGGTGAAAGATGACTGCACAGAGATTGGTAAGTCAAGCAAATGGCGGGCATTAATAATGTGGTCCTACTTGTTCAAGGACCTCAAATGGATATTCCCGACCTGTTTCTTCCCTTTCTGTGTATGACTCCTTAACTACATGTTCAGAAATACTGCAACAAATGTTTGGTCCAATAACTAGACCCTCAGCTGCAGAATTACACCCTCAAAAAAGACCTTAGAATTGGCATATTTTCTCTGACAATATGATTAAATCTTTTTCTTTTACTTTTCCTCAAAGCAAGAGGCAGGAATTCTTAAATGTGTTGACATGTAAACTTCTGGAGGGGATTCTAAGAAACAATGGAGCAAAGAGTGTAATACTTATCAAAGTAGTGCGGAGAAGGCAGTGGAAGAGGGTGTAAATGTTTTACATAAACTAAAAGCTGAAATGTTAAAAAAAAATCTTCATATACGTGCTATACCTTGACCTAATCTGTGTTCCAAGAATTTCTTTGGAGGGTAGATTTCTCACATGTTTTTAAAATGACTTCTGAAACTTTCTGCTCTGCCAGGGAACTCAGATAACTGATCTCATGCTGCTAGTTAATTATTGTAGATGATGGAAGAAAAAGAAGAAATTCAGAGAAGAAATTCAGAGACAGAACACAGCAAGGTGTTGATACTGACTTCCACATCCATTTGTTTAATTGCAATTGAGTAAGTGCTTTTGGGCTGAATTGTTTTGACATCAGAATTCTATTACTGAGGAATAGCATCAGCAAGATGTCAGAGTGGGAAACCCTGGATCATCCTTCTTCCCACAAATGCATTGATTCAGAAACAATTCATGAACAAATTCCCCTGTGAGAAATCCAGAATTTTATTATCTAGACCCAGGTATCTAGATAAGAGCCTGATATTTTTAATGTAAGTTTGAAGTGAACCTAAAACCATAATTTCATATTTACATTTTCATTGTTTCACATATATAACCAAATTGATCATTACTTACAGTGTCTGGCCTTTGAATCCTTCTTGTTATTTTACTGCTCATAAGATTAGTCTTTAAAAGGTGTTGCTGTGAGTGTCTGGATGATGTGGGCGCAGAACGGAGGGAATACTGAGCCCGAGGTATAAGGCCTATAATGTTAAAAAATATTAAATTATATCTCTGGTTGCAGTGTATAGGCCTAGATTTGATCCATAAAATTTTAGAGCTTAAAATGAACATCTAATCCAGCTTCGTCAATTCTGAGTGAAGATGTCAAAACTTGGATGGAATCTTTTGCCTGAGGGTCACATGACCAAGTGAAAGAGAAGGATATGATAGGTGACTTGGACTGTGGTGGGTAGAAGTGGACAGACTTAGGGATATTCAAATTAATCAGACTCAGTAATTAACTGGATTTGCAGGGTGACAAAGAATAGCTCCTAGATTTCTGGCTCAAGCAACTGGATAGATGTTAATTTTATTTTATGGTGGATTTTATGATCCTGGCACATATATACTCAATAGGTCACAAGATTAGAAGGGTAGATGGGTGGGAAATATGAGCATGTAGAGAGAAAGCAGATAAAAATTAGTTCAAGGCCCCTGAAAAAGAAGGACCAAATGGGATCCCATGCATTGGGATTGGCCCCAGGAAGGGGCACCTTCTCCATTTTATCAGGAAGGATGGAGAAGCAGCTGAGTATCTAATGTAGGTGGGCTGGGTTCAAGATATAGTGGGGGGTTCCCACTGGATGGCTTTTAACTGCTCTGTGAAACTGAGGTACGGTGTTGGCTGGAGAGGAGGACAGTGTTTGAAGGTCTGAAGAGGCCAGGAAGATTTAAAATAGTTACTGGGAAGAGGAGAGAGTGAGCTGACCCCATCCTCAGCTCCAGGGGAGGGACATGTGAGCTGATCCTAAGCGCACTGAGCGTCTTAGTCTCTGGCTTTAGTGATTTGCTCAAACCCGGGCACGTGACTCGAGTCAGCCCAGTCTGAGGCTGATTCTTTTCAACTGTCCCATCTCCGCACTGACTCCGGCCCCAAGAGCTGAACAGAGCAGGGGAGCTACAGCGGTGGCAGCCATCTTGCTTCCCAAGGCGCTCCACTTCCTCTCTGCTCCCAGCATTCTCAGAGCCCAGAGGCTGTGAGAGAGAAATCAGTGCTGGTGAAAAACGTCAAACCGGGATCAAGCGAACTGAAACCAGTCTACCTCTCAACATTTCACAGTTTTGTCAGCCAAATGATTTCATTTGTTTTTCCCTTAAGTATTTTAAGAATAACTGCACTAGAACATGTTATAGTTTCCCAGGAGTTGTGAGATCCTAAGGGGAATCCATGCTAATGCCAAGTAAAGAGAGCTCGCCCCTTAACTCTGTCCTTGCCTCTGATGCTTCTGATGTTGGGAGCATCATAATCAACATTTGCACAGTTATTTAGTGTTTTTAAACAACTAAAACAAGTGTTTTAGTGTTTTTAAACAATGTGGCAGACGTGCATTATTTCGTTTAATCCTCAGAATACCCTTTTGAGGTGGAGAGTCCCAGTTTACAGAGAGGCTAAATAGCCTGTCTAAGGTCACATAGCTAGCAGTGACAGAGTCAGGATTTGAACCAAAGCTCACACCCTCAACCACCAGGCTACACCGGAACAGAAAAGCAGAGGCTTGACTGATCTTAATAATAAGTCAGTTGTGTATACTGATATTTGATGATACTTTTGATAGATCTAGAAAAGAACTTAGAATGTATTTCATCCTCAACTTATAGGGGAGGAAGCTAGTTTAGAGACATCCGGGGTTTGACCCCTGCTCCGTGCTGCTTGCTAGCTACATTGCCCAGAGGGCTGTTTTGATTGCCATTTCTATAGGACTCCTCCGGTCCCCAGCTCCCACGAATCATAATATACTTTATAAATAACATCTGAGAAATGTGGTCATTGATGTCCCAAGGCATTAAGACAAAATATAGTGAAGTACCCAATGTTCTGTAAGTGGTATATTACACACTTCTGAGACCAGTTTTTATGACTAAAACCTTTTAGTATAGGATGTCAGTACTCTAAGGTGAACTAAAGTAGAAAGTTATGACTACAAATCAGAATGAAGTTTTTTTATTCATGTATCATTCATTCATTCAACAGCCATCATGGAGCACCCACTCAATAACCACTGCGTTGTTATGGCTAGACCCTGAGATCCTCCTCATTGCAGACCCCAGACCCTGGGAGTTTGTGCTAGCCAGAGTAGGGGACCTGCCCACCACCTGGTGAGCTCATCTGGACAGACAATCGCTCGGCATCATTAAGCTGACTTTGTAGCTCTTGTACGCTCTGGAAAGCATCCAGCTTCACACTGCGCTCCTGGGCAAGCCGGCTTCTCATCTGAGGGGAAAAGTGCTTAGGAAGCAGAGATACTTTTTGGTGCATACTTTAGTTCCTGGGGTTCCTCGGAGAGTGTGGGTCCAGGCTGCCCCAGGAATACAAGCCCTCATACAGTCCTGGTCAGGCTGAACTCAGCCTTCTAATGAGAGCTCCAAGAAGGCCAAGAACTTAACCAAAGAGGAACAGAGGCAGCCCTTGGATCCCCTTATTACCTTATCATAGCCAGGAGTTCTCTCACAACATTTTTATCTTTTATGTTTATATCACCACAGGGGAGGGGAGGGGAGGGGAGGAAATGGAGAAGGGCCCAGTTCACAGAGGACCTTGTGGGTCAAAGCCACGAAACTACCCCAGGGATGGGAGGGAGCCCCTGGGCAGTTTCAAGCAGAGGAAAGACCCGATCTCTCTCCCAGATCTCTGTTTGGTTCAGCTCATCATCTGCAGGGACGCCCTGAGCACCGTCTCCCAGGCCTTATGCGAGGCCCCTACCAAGAGGTGACCTTTGTATTTACTCATGTGGCTCTCTGCTAGCACAGCTGGCCCTTAGACCCCCAGCCAGAGTGTGGCTGGGTCCAAAGTGCACCTCATCCACAGAGAGCACAGGTAGTTTTTTCTTTTGAAACATTTTTATTTATATAAATATAAATTTATATAGGTTATACCAAGTAATTTAATTATAAAAATTACTAAAAGTATAAAAAGTAATGTAATTATAATTATAAAATTAAAAAGTATAAAAAAGCAATAATAGTATAGTGGATTGAATAGTGTTCCCCCCACAAAAAAAAATTCACGTCTACCTAGAACCTCAAAAGGTAACCCTACTTGGAAACAGTCTTTGCAGATGTAATTAAATTATGATGAAGTCATATTGGGTTAAGAGTGGGCCTTACATACAATGACTGATGCCTTTATAAGAAGAAGAAAGGGTTCAGACACAGAGTGACACCTAGGGAGAGGGCCATCGGAGGGGGAAGGCAGAGATCGGAGTGATGTCCGTACAAGCTAAGGAATGTCAAGGGCTATAGGCTGCCACCACAAGCTAGGAGAGAGGCAGAGAACAGCCTCTTCCTCAGAGCCCCCAGGAGGAGCCAACATCTTGATTTCAGCCTTCTGGCCTCCTGAACTGTGAGAGCATACATTTGTGTTGTGTTAAGCCATCCAGTTTGCGGTGATTTGTTACAACAAACTAATCCACATGCTAATATCAAAAATTCAGCCACATGTGTTTTAAATCCTACTCCTGTCTGCATGGACCCAGTGAGAAGGCCTGTGAACTCCTGAAGCTGTGACCACAGGCTCGTCTTACAAATGTTAAGGGGCAGTTTCTTGTGTGTACAGATGCTCTCAAGTGTGGTTTAACTTTCAGTAGGAGATCAGATCCCCAGAGTTAGGAAAACGTCCTAATACAAATTAGGCCCAAGGTCCCTGTATGTACTCTAAGTATTGGTGTAGGCTCCCCAGTCCCCATGGGCAGGAACCAGGAAAAACATGTCAAGACTCCCTGAGCCGGGCTGGGGCTAAACCAATTTGAAGAATATTCGCAAAGGAGAAAAACATGCTTAGGAAGGATCTTGTGTTGTGTTAGGACCTTAAAAAGGATCCCAGCCCACTTCACAGAGGTAGGTGCAGTGATTTGCCCAAGATCCCACAACCAGTTAGTGGCAGAGCCAGGATCTGAAACCAGGTCAATCTGTTTCCAAAATTGTCCACTTTCATTCATATTCCCAGCAAAAAGACATATAGCCAATATTTATCAAGAGCTGTGTATCAGTTTCAGTTCTAAGTGCTTCATTGGAATTACCTGAGTTAATCCTTCTAAAAAATCCCACGAAATGAGTATATTGTTCTCCATTGTACTGATGAGAAGACTGAAGCACAGAGAGACCATGATCTAGCCTAAAGTCATGCAGTGGAAGGCCCCGGGGTGTGAATCAGGAAGTCTGACTCTAGGGCCTCTGCTCTAAATGGTGGCCCCAGGAGCAGGAGGTAGGCAAGGACAGTCATGCTCTCCAAGGTCAGATGGTCAAAATCTGCCCTTGGAATTGGAGGTTGGAGATGGATTAAAGAAGTCACTGTGGGTCGTAGGGGCTCTTGCTGGCTGAGGGTGGATTGCTAGTTGGTGGGGAATGGGACAGTAAGCCCAGGGGCACAGGGGCTGCCAGCAGAGGTAGAGGGGTGGTTTAGGTTGTTACATACATATACTAAAAACATGTATTTGTTGAGAGAAGCCTCAAAACATTTGTTTTGACTACTTTTAGATTCTTTACCATTAGACAAAAATTAGTTAACTAGAGAGGACTTTGAGAAACTAACACTTTATGTATGTATGTATGTATGTATGTATTTATTATTTATTTATTTTTAAGTAGGCTCCATACCCAGTGTGGAGCCCAATGCAGGGCTCAAACTCATGACCCTGAGATCAAGACCTGAGCTGAGATCCAGCAGGACACTCAAACGATTGAGTCACCCAGGTGCCCGCTAACACCTTATTTTTGTGGTGGTTTTTAGAAAAGCATAACTTGAAAGATAAATATGTGACACCAAAATTTTCTTAAGGATTCAAGTCATATTTTAGTTTAGTTTTCATAAAATAAATGTGAAATTCTAATTTTCTTTTAGTCTAAAGCTACTCGTTTTTTTCTCCATTTCTCCACAAATATTTTCTCTAGCATTGCCTCAATTCAATTTTTGCCCTTTTTTATTTTTGTAGACTTCTCATTGATCTCCTCTTTAAGCACCTGAAACACTTGGCCAATAATTTAATTTAACTGTCCAACTTCTGTTTCCTAACATCTCTGGTGAATTAATTAAGTGATTTATTCCTTTGGCGAATGCATGAGAAGTGCCTGCTCTGGAAGGTGCTACTTCTTTTGCCTTTTATATTGGATTACATTCTGTGGTCTCCTTTGTTGGAGCTTGCATTAATCCACATCTACATCTATTGTTTCTTCCTTTTTTTGCTGTAGGGGTATATTTAACAAAAGTATATTGTGTCTGGAAGTCACTTTTGCCTTTCCTTTTTGTCTCTGAAGTTCCAGAAATACCTTGAATAAAATCCTCTTATAATAGCTTCCATAATACTTTCTGCTCTTCCAGATTAACTGTTGGAATTTTCTAAAGGATCCCTAGTTCAAAAATTATAGCCAAGTGGAAACATGTTTTTCATGTGGGTTATAAAGGTGCCAAGATTCTGGGCCTTGAGGCAGTGAAGCCATCATCCTCCTCTCTCACCATAAACAGCCCGAGCATCACCGCAGCGTGGGCAGAAGTATTTCCATTATCCTGGTGGGCCTAGAAATGACAAAGGTGAGGGACACCAGAGGCATGGAAAATTCCAGAAGAAGGCCCCAGCTCTGTCTGGTGCATCCTGATTGGCTTCCGAGCGGCAGCTTCCTCTCTCTGGAGTTACCTGTTGGAGTTCCCTCTGACTTCTCTTCTGCTGCAGCTGGCCCAGTCTGGAAGCCCTCTTAGCCACTTCCGTCAGGAGCTGCAGGTGCTGTTCCTTTTGCTCCACATCTTCCAAGAGCGCCCCCATGCTGGGGGTTTTCAGTAGATCCATCTGTTGCTGGTGGCGAGCCTCCTGGGTTGCTCGGTGTTGCAACTCTCTCAGCAGTCGAGCCTGTGGCAGGAAAAGGCCAGAGGAAACGAAGAAGGCACAGAGTCTTTCCTCTCAGCAAAAGGCAGGGAACGAGAAGTTGCCCAACGGGATAACCATCCCCTCCAGTAGGGCCCAGGGGCCCGACTCTGTGGCGTACTCCTGGGCTCAGGGTCCTAGAGCCCGGCCGTTCAGGTCCGGGCTAGCAGGCAGCAAGACTACCAGGACCCAGGCCGGCTTGGCATTTACTGTAAGCCCCGAGGCAACAGTTGGGGAGGGAAAAAAAGGAACAAACAGGAAAAGCCAGGCAAGTGGTAATGCCACCAGCAATACCAGGTCAAACAGTTCGGACTTCCGGTGCCCAAACGTGATGATATGTATGTTACTCAGCTTATTAACCACATAGTTCTATCTACCTCATAGTACATGTGCAGTGTCACTGAGCATTAATCACAAGATAGCAGGGAAGGGTTGGCCCGTGGAGAAGGGGTGATGTAATACACGCTATGAGTGGACAAAGGAGGTTCTAATCTTGCCTCTGTTTTGACTTCCAGAATAGCTCTGGGGAAGCCAGGTTCCAGATGGCTAAAGAAGGAAAAGAGTAGTAACAATTTGGTCCTGTTCTGAAATTTTTCTAAGCAGTAGCACCATAAGCACCAGAGGGTCCATCCTCAGTTGTAATACTAACACTGTTTGTATGGTGACGTTACAGTTTGCATAATTATACACCATTGTTCACCTGATGCACAATAATGGAGGATGTAGGGTCTAGAAGGAACAAATTATATGTTAGGTTTTAAATATGCCCAGCTTTCCCAGGCTCTTATTACACTCGGCTCTTCTCTCTCTACACCTAGGGTCTTTCTGCTTCCTTCATGATCAGAGAGTTGGCACAGTTATCAAGGGCTTAAACTTGGAAACACCTTTCTTTTGGTGCTGGCCCCTCCTGAGCAGCAGTAACTTCTGAAATGAAGACTTAGTATGGATCATCCGGAAAGGACGCAAGACTCAGTTTGGGGAATAATGCTGATGGCTGGGCCACACTCCACATGCACAAGGTTGCTGTCAATGGAAAGTGTGCTTGGAGATGGAAGGACTGTGTAAAGGGCAGAGACCTCCACCCCAAGATGCCCTCTGGGTAATAAGATCCTCAGAGAAACACACACGTACACACTACACTGAAGAATGGTCTTCTGTATGGGTAGTACTTGCCCATCTTAGCCAAATACAAACAAAACCAAAAGCCTTTTGGCCACTCTCCTTGGTTGCTGGGCTAGAGAGGAGGGAGAAGGGAAGCTGAGGTCTGGGCAGTGGTTCTCTGGCCGTGCTCTGTGCTCGGCCTCACACTGTGGAGCCCCGATGACTGCTCTGGGCAGCTATGGTGCTGCTTCCACTACCACATGCAGCTTTGCAGAGCGAGGTTAGAGAGAGGGAGGCAGAGGGCTCCTGAGGCTCAGATACCTGGTTATCCTGCCGCTCGTGCATCCTGGTGTTGTCGGCCTGAGCCCTGGCCAGGGCCTGCCTTAGAGCCAGTAACTGTTGACGAAATAAAACCACTTCTTGTTCTGCCATAAGCTGGATGCTCAAGCACTCTTTTTTACTTTGCAGAGCTTCCTGTGAACATCCCAAACACAGTGAGATAGAGAATAAGTTTCCTTTCCATAGTTTTAGTTTATAAGAGTCTCTAGACCACTTCAGTTACCATTGTTTTTTAAAGCTTCCGGTAGCAAGGAGCTCCCACCGGTCACTTCTTCTCTGTCTTTGTTTAAGTACAGTGTGACAGATCAGAGTAAACAAAGACTTTCAGAAACACTAAGTGAAAGTGTCCAAACCACTAGTATTTTGTGTTTTGGTTTCAATTCGCCTTGAGGGAGATTTTCGATTTGTTACTTCATTTTCCTCAGATAATCATGTTTGAAACTCAAAGATTTGCAGTATATTTTGATGAAGCTGCCTCAAGCCCTTGGTAAAGTCTCCCCCTCCATCTTTCCCCTTCCCTCGTGCTAAATTCTCTGATCTGTTCTCCCATTTGCTTCTTTGCCATTTACTTCTGGCTCTTTCCTGTTTCTCTGGAGGCTCTGACACATTGCCACTTCCCAGGAAAACTCCCCAACGGTCAGATCCTTTAAGCGTGTTGGTCTTGCCACGGGCCACCAGGCCACTGGGGCAGGGAGGCCGCCAAGGAAGCCAGGCGCCACCCACCTCACGGCTCCCTGCTGGGTAGGGCCTCCCTCCCCTGGCGCTCACCTTCTTTGCCCTGTTCAGCTGGCCCTGGAAACGAGCCTGCTGCACAGCCAGCCTCTAGTGGCCCAGGCTCCTCACTTTGCACACAAGTGCAGCCAGGCTGCTGCTGTCCTGCTCCAAGGCCTGCAGCTGCTCCTGCTGAGAGAGGCTCACTTTCAGGAAAGCCTGCCCCCAACACTTTTCCCCGGAGGGAATGGCACAAATCCTAACATCAGAACCATGCCTTCCAGAGGATGACACAATTGTGCAGTGAGCCCCAGTGCCCCTTTTAAATGCCTGATGCAATGCTTTCTCGGGGAAACCACAGACTGGAACTCATACAGAGTGAGCTAGGGGTCAGATGCTGGGAAGAAATGCTGGTATCTCATTGCTAAATGAAATCACGTACTTTGGCTGGGTTTTCTTTTGTTCCTTCATCAGGTCTGGCAGAACCGCATTTTGTCTTTAGGCCCTTCAAATTGTCAATCCCTTCTGTTCTTACTTCGCCGATGAGCTCACACACTTTCTGGATCAAATTAATCTGATGCTCATCCAGCTTTTCCTGCAAATTGCAGACTCAAGTTCAAGAAGGGCAGGGAAGGAAGAGTCACTTTGCCTTCTAAAACCCAACTTTCAGAAATGATTTCATGTGAAAAAACCATCCACCCAATTATTCCCTCAGGTATTATCTGGGAGTCTCACTAGCAGCCCCTTTAGCGTTGTCTTCAATCCCCAGGGCTTCATTATGTGGACCCCTACACATCTTAAAGCTCAGGCTGTCAGCTGCCAAGGTAAGTTGAGTGGATAGAAAAGTGGAAGGTCACAGGTAGAAAACTGAACCACTCCTCTTCTCCCAAAAGGTTGCTTGAGAATTTGAACCTAGGGATTTTTGCTATCAGGTTGACTCAGCAGAATCCGACCAGATAGAACACTATAGATGAGCCACAAATGAGGAACTACATTAAAAATAGATAAAGTAGAGGAAGGAATCAGGCTGGCTACCTTCCCATTTAGGTTCCAGCAGAAATCTCATTATGAAACAGCCTGTTCTGAATGGCTTGTGGATAATGGCTTGTGGTTGGAAGGGCTTGATCATCGCTAAGTATAACTACAGACCCTGCATCCTTGGGTGAGGGGGGAGAGTTGGGTGTCCTCTCATCTCTGAACCACTTCCCTGGAGAGGAAAGCAGGAGGGTATTGCCCAGTCTGGCAGCCATGGCAGGATGTCTGGCTGCTGGCCACATGGCCAAAGCTTCACCATCCACCTGGGACCCTGGGGTAGAACAGGGATTCTCCACTTGTGGGGGCCTGTGGAACTGGTTTAGCCTGGGAGAAGTAGAGAATCCACTTTCTGTCTAGGAATCAGGCATAAGTTAAAAAAAAAAAAAACTTAAGAAAATTTTCAATAATTTCATACCCAAAAGATGACTGAGCAAATCCCAGACTTCACTGGCTGTTCATCCCTCTCCTGCAGTACAAGGCCCAGTGCATTTTGGTTTTGACCCTACAATATTTGTAAGCATTTGTATTTTGTGGCTCCTTCATAAGTAGGAAGGACTCTCCAATCCTCTCTGACACCCACCAAGGCAGAGCACTGGTGGAAGCTCCTCTCAATGGAACAGCTTCAGGGACTGGCTGGAATGCCCCAGGAGAGACAATGAAGTACAGACTCATTGAGGGGGCTGGCTCTGGGAGCCATCCAATAGCAGGAGAGGGGGCAGGTTTGTCCTGAAGTTCACATCTGTGGGGCAGCTGGACCAGGCTCTGTGATGGCCCATTTTAGGGCCTCCGTCTTACAGCTGCTCAGACATCATAAGAAAGCGACAGGCTTTCCAACCCCCACCCCCCTGTGTGGGCATATGGGCACCCCATCTCTCCTCTTCCGGATGGACGACCTTCCCTGACAGGCCAGCGGCTCCCAGACACTGGATGGAAGAAATAGGCTGACAGGCATTTGACGGGTTGAAAACCTCTCTGAAAGCGAATTCAAATTCTGAATCTGCCCAGTGAGTTTTCAGAAGGCGCCTCTCGCTACCGACACTGGAGTCTGGCCTGGCTCAGGGCACTGCACTCTCCTGTTTGGACGGTGGCACTCAATAGACAAAACCGTGATATCAGCTATTGGGATTTCAGAGGAGACACCCCCCACCCTGCCTTAACAGCAATCAGATGGCAGCAACGGCAACCAGCAGCAGAGTGAGGAAAACAGCAACCATCTAAATTGTCTAAAACTCATGGCAAAATAATGACAACCCATTGCTGACCCCTCCCTGCCACGAACACAGAGTGCTGGAGAATTCATGGGCCCTGTAGGCTCTTGTTACCACACACACTCTGTCGTTGATCGCTGTGTGTGCAGCGGCTGTGGAGGTCACTGAGCCTCGGCTCCCACGGGATTGCCCAGACGTCCGAGACAGGTCACTTACTTTTATGTGCACACATGTCACAAACAAAGCTCGGATTAAGGCTTCGTATTCTTCCTGGACTTCTTTTCTAATCTGCTTGTTGAGATTCAGATTTTCCTGTTCCAAATCTGTGAGTCGAGCTCTTAGAGCAGTGATTTCCATGATCATAGTAGGACTGAGCTCTGCAACCTAATGGCAGAAATATTGTTTTAATGGAAGATAACTCAAGCAATCCAAACTGCCACTATAGAATAGTTCTTTGTATATCAGTGTCAGATTTGCTCTTCTACCTTAAATCTAATGAAAGAGGTGAACATCCTGTTGTACAAATATGGGTGAAAGAATCTAAGGCTGGCTTAAGGGTCTCGGAACAGAGACAGACACATAGTAGGTGTCCAATGAATGGTTGCTGAATGAATGACCCCAGAAGAGACACACTTAAGCACTTTTTAATTGGATAAAATACTTCAGCTGTCTTCGTCTCCATTTCCAAATGGGCCTTCTTTGACACCTCAACCTAAATACCTTTACTTTGGAATTCACTTAAGCTGGCCTCAAAAGAAGACAAACGAAGCCCCCAACCCCAAACCCAAAACTAACAATAAAAAAGAAAAATCAAAGCAATAAAAAATAACAAAAACCACCAAAAAACTAAGAATAAGAAAGCCCTATTGCTTAAAAAGTGAAAGCACACTCCTTAGGTGTTTCTGCAGTAGATCTTCAGTGATGAGAATTCTATAGGCCACTCTTGACGGGGGGCACAAGAAAATGACGCTAGGAAGTCCCCTGTCTGGCTACTGCTGAGAATGTGGATTTGTGAGTTGGAAAAGAGAAGCTTTTTGGTAAGAATGGACCTACCTGACCAGCGTTGTCTTCAAGTGGATCTGAACTTCTTCGGATAATATCTAATTCCTGAACAGGAGAAAACAATGCACAACCAAACTCAAACATTTATTCTTCCAACCATGGCTCAGTTCAGCACAACATGCTCCATACACCTCGTATTTGTGTTAATGGAGCTTCATTTTCAGATCCTTGGGCTCCATCTGGAGCTTGACTGCGTTTGTTGCCCCATTGGACTTTAGGACGCCTAACATGAAATCAGAAGATAGCATTAACTTCCGGGTATCCACACTAATGCCAAAGACTTGGCTACAGGGATAAGCCAAACTGGGGGTGAAGCTGAGACTCATTTGATATTTGAATGCTTCATTTGATTTTTTTCTCAGACTTGTGCACTTTTCTTAGGTAAAAAGTAATATAACATTGAACCTCTAATGCAATCCATTTAAAACAGTGTGCAATCTAGGACAGGAGAAGTGACTCTTGGATCCCACCAGGGGGACCTCATTTTAAGGAAGTCTCATCAGTGAGACCCATGATGTACATCCTGAAGACAGAGTTTACTCAAGGATCCTGGCTTCTCTGCTAGACCAGGAACAGCATAAGGTGCTTTGTGTTTGCTGAGGTGAGAAGGTAAGCTATGTATCTTCCCTGAGGGGCAGCTCCTTTGTCACTAATGTTTTATATTCCCCACTAGACACTTCCAAAGCACACAACCCAGTGTTGCTGGGCCATCACCCTTGCAGCTGAGAATACCAGAGCCCAAGAAAATGAACCAGTAGGAGGAGACATTTGAGGAGTAGCTTTTACCCTCTGTTCTTGCATGAGAACATCTCCCCCACCCTCTGTTCCAGTCTCCTCTTTGGAGTGAGTCCTGGGCCTCCCTACCCATACCTTCCCCATCACACTTCTTGTCTCTCTGGGAACATACCTGCTCTTTCTGACAGAGCTTCTGCCTAGCATGCTCCAACACATGCTCATAACACATGGAGTAGCTCTCGAAGTTGCTGTGTTCTCTCGCCATCACATCACAACCCAAGGAAAGGAGGCAGGCCTCAAGGTGGTCTTTTCTGAATGTGATCTGAAAAGGAAGGGGCATTATTCACAGCAGCTCCAGTAGGATGGACTCACGTGCCAGGGCACATGTTGCCTTAGCTCCCAGACCCTTGTCCCTTTCTCCGCCACAGAGAAACATGGGCTCTGGCCTTGCGAGTCTCTCTTTCGGGTCCACTCTTAGTATTCACAGGGCAGGGACAAGAGTACAAATAGAGGCCTACATGCCACATACCTAAGTATGCTAGATATTTAAGGGCTATAAGTCAAACTAATAAACTATTAATTCTCCTACTTTGAAAAAAGATCTTCAAAATAACACTGAAGGGCAGGTTTGACTTTATCATTCTTGGACTACTCTGGGTTCTATGCTGAAATGGGGTGACTTGGAGAGAACTGGCTCACCAACTTATAGTTTACAGTATGACCCCCTTCTCTTCCCACCTCTGGCCCCACATCACACTGTGGAGGGCTCTCATATGCACACAGACACTCTGGCCATCTACACCCCTACACAGCTGCTCCGGACCACCCCTCAGGCTGGGGTATGCACACTGTCAGTAAGGCCCACTCTCCCTCTGGGGAGCAGGATCGGGAGAACTTCCAGGGAGAATTCCAGGATGCCAAGCTCCTGAAGTGTGGTCTAGAAGGAAGGCCAGAGATCTGAAGGGGCATGTCCCCTTGGCTGTGGGTATTTCTCACCCTGTGAGGAAGAGTCGGGCTGGAGATGAGCCAGAGGAGCCCTCTGAAGAATGAGCGTCTGGCAGGGGCCCCTCTTGCTCTGGCTGAAGGGACATACTGCTACTCTTTCGGCGGTCTCCTTCCGTTTCTCTAAGAGATCGGGCTCCCTTTTGAAGAGGTAGCCATTAAGGAACAGAGGAAAAGTCCATCTCTCCAAGGCAAGCTAAGATTTTGGCTCTGGAGAGAAATGGGAGCCAATGTATAGAAGATAGGACAGATATATCTGCTTAGGGCCTGCAAGTCCAAGTGAGTGCTCGTGGGTGTCTCTATGTGTCCATATCAGGGAGTGCATCTGCGGCATTTGTGGATGTTTGTGTGTCTGTATCCGTTAGTGTAAATGTATATATATGTCTATGTCTCCGTGGATGTCTCTGTGACTGTCTGTATATGTCTCTGTGTCTATGTGTGTCCCTGTGTGTATATCAGTAAGTGTGTCTGTGTGTGTACCTGGGTGTCTTAGGGGGCCTACTCTAAGACCCAGCCCGCATGCATACATGAGCTTTATCTGTGATACTTCCAGAGTCAGGAGGGCTCCAGGCTCCCTGGCAGTGTGCTACAGAAGTTTCTGGCCTGGGGTGGGTCCTGTGTCTCTGACTTGCTTGTCCCCGTGAGGCCCAGTACACCTCCGTGCCCCCACTGACCTCCAGAGAAAGCCCAGCCAGGCTTTACCAAGGTGAGTTACTGAGACAAACTGGCAGAGACGGCAAACAGTGATAGAACTCAGTACTGATGGAGTGAGGGAAGTGGCTCACTCACCACTGCTGATGGCAAGGGAAATCAGGGTGATGTTTTGGAGGGCAGACTAGCTGTATCTGTGAAAAGATTTTAAAATGTTTGTGCCCTTTGGCCCAGTCATTCCTCTGCCAGAACTTCATCTTTAGGGGATAATAAAAGTGACACACAAAAATATGCACAAGCAGATGTTCTTTATAGTAGCCTTTCCAACAAAAAGAGAAATGGAAACGATCAAAAGTTCCTAATAAAGGGAAACAGGTTGACTCTTTCTCACCTCTCTGTACAAACGAAATACTAGACAGCCACCAAAAATTCTGCTGTGGACATAAATGTTTATTGACAAGGAAACATGTTGATAATATGTACTCAAGTGAAAATAAGTACACTATAATAAAAGGGCATACAAAATGATCTAATTTGGTTTTAAAAAGTTAACGAATAAAAAAATGACAAATAAAGTTTGGAAGGAAATATGCCAACATAATAATAGTAGTTGTCAATGAGGGTAAGCTGATGAGTGTATTTTCTAATACATCATATTTCTATTTTCTAATATAATCACAATATGCATACACAATTAAGATAATTATATATGAAAATGTATATGTAATAAAATGTATACCCTAATGAAAAGATAGTAAAGCTTTTGTAAAGATCATCAGCCACAGCAGCTTGGGTGCATTGAAGAGATGCAGAATGGAGACGGTAGATGAAGCCCTCTGCTCATGGGGGATTTCATGAATAGGAGCCAGGCAGTCAGGGCAGGGTACTCAGCCAACCTCCCTCATCTGGGGCCTCCTCAAGGGGCCCCTTCAGGGGGGTGGGAGTGAGGGCAATCCACCCTGCTCTGGAAAGTAAACAGTAAGACAGCCAGATTGAGCTTCTGACATCAAGGCAAGGGGAACCAAGATTCCATTCCCTGGCCCTTGACTTCTTAATGGTGACAGGGTCGAGGCTACGCAAATTTAGTAATGACAAAGGAAACATTTCCCAGACTGAATATGATGAAAGCCTGAAACATTGAGGAGTTGTGAGACCATATTCAAGGCCATCCAGGCATGGCTGGTGACCCCGCCCAGGCAGGCTGGGCCCAGTGCTTGGAATCAGCCACAGTGACTCACTCCTCACTGTCCTGGACGGCAGGCTCTGGACCTGAGCGTGCCAGTAAGGCCTCCAGCAACTTTTTGGCAGGGCCAACACTTCTCAAACTAATATTACCATAGCCATCATAGCAGATATAGGATCCCAAACAAACAGAAACGCAGATTCGGACCGCAATGGCCTTCTACCGTCCCCTCTTAGCCAGTGTAAGGCACCTCTGTGTGAGTCTGTGTTACACCAGAGGTGTAGGAATGGCCAGGACCCCCTTGAGCATCTCCAGAGGCCAGAGAAATTGTATTTTGTTATTGTGTTTCTTAAAAGCTCTTCTGCAACCTACCCTTGCCTTCCTAGGTCACTAAATGTCAGCTCTGTCTCAAAATGCAGCATGAAGTAGGTTCATCTTCCAACCTCCCCTTCAGGGCAGATCCCTGGGTTCCATAAAACCACAGACTGAAGACCATGCCCTCCCATGGGCTGATTTCTTCACCAACAGTGAAACCTGAACTGTGATGAATGGCACTGGCTGGAAAATCACCAGATTCTTCTGGAGAGCCAGCCTGGGGTGAAGCCTGGCAGGTGCTAGGCCTTGTTTTGGCAAAAGTCTGGCTTTGCTGGGAGCAAATTGCACTTCTGTGGTTTGTTTCATCTTGGAGCCCCTCATAATTGGTCTAATATCAGGCATGCACAAGGTGTTTTGATGATGTTTCTAAAACCCACCTCTGCTGACAAAATGCTTCAGTGACTTCCCACTGACTCTGGGATGAAATCCAGACTCCTAAGGATTGCCTACAAAGCCATTCAATAACTGGCCCTGTCCACCTTTTCAATGTCCTCCTCTGAACTCTGCTATACTCCCTTCTTAAATTTCTCTACCTTCCTGGCCCTCTTTCTCTTCAACGAGGTGGTTGAGTGGTTTGGTGGCAGTGGCCTTGCGGATTCGCGCCAGCAGACGCAGAGATGCAGATCTTTGTGAAGACCCTGACGGGCAAGACCATCACCCTCGAGGTCGAGCCCAGTGACACTATTGAGAATGTCAAAGCCAAAATCCAAGACAAGGAGGGCATCCCGCCTGACCAGCAGCGTCTGATTTTTGCGGGCAAACAGCTGGAAGATGGCCGTACTCTGTCAGACTATAATATCCAGAAAGAGTCCACCCTGCACTTGGTGCTTCGCCTCCGGGGTGGCATCATTGAGTCTTCCCTCCGCCAGCTGGCCCAGAAATACAACTGTGACAAGATGATCTGCCGCAAGTGTTAGGCTCGCCTGCACCGCCGTGCTGTCAACTGCCGCAAGAAGAAGTGCGGCCACACCAACAACCTGCGCCCCAAAAATAAGGTCAAATAAGGCCCCTCCACCGGCTCTTCCTTTGCCCACAGGGCAGCTTCCTGCCCGAGCCCCAAGGGCCTGGGGCCTCAATAAAGTTTCCCTTTCATTGAAAAAAAAAAATTTCTCTACCTTCCTTCCCCAGCCCCTCTTCATCTGGATAACTCCTATTTGTGCTTTAAGACTTGGCCCAGACAACACCTCCTCCAGGAAGTCTTCCCTGACTATTTCTTCCCTACCCCCTAGGTGGGTTGTATCTCCTGTGTATGCCTCTCTCAAAGCATTTAATGTAAAGTATCTTTTCCTGACACTTCTGGGTCACCTGATTCCATAAACTCTTTGAGGGCAAGAACTGTACCTTTTGCCTTTAATCTAATACAGTGCCTAGAAAAAAAAAGGAGATCTATAAACACTGGCTAAATGAATGAATGACTTTTGGCATACGAATGGAAATGGTTCTGGAATCCACACAATAGACTATTATAGTTCTGATTTGCAATAAAAGTCAGTCTCTAAGTTTAGGTCAGTGTGTTTGGTATAAAATTTGGGCAAGATGTTAGAACTGATTGTGAAAGGCTGTTTTTTTTAGAATTTGGAGAAGGAAGAAAAGATCACTAGAGGCCAATATGGATTCAAGAAAAATCAGGTCAGATGAACCTTTTCAGGAAATAGAGCGCATGCGGTGTACCTGGATTTCAGCAGGGTATCTGGAAAGGTTCCTCATGATGTCCTTGTGGACCAGTGGAGAACATAGACTGGGCGACAGTACAACGGATGGGCTGCATGGATGGGGTGCTGGCCACAGAAAGACTGTCCCCAGAGAGTGGGGTCAGCCTGAAGGGGACCCCAAGGGGGTAGCACAGGGCTTGGGGCCTGTCCTGGCATACACTGTCAGTAATAACTTGAATGAGGAGACCGAGGGCAGGCTGACATGAACCCGGGAGGGAGTGAGAGTGTGCTGGATGATAAAAATCCAAATTTTTAAGGATTTCAAGAAGTTCAGAGTGGACTAAATTGAGTAAGAACAAGGCTAATAATATGGCAGCTGCAGGATGCCTGAAGGCAACGTGTGGGCTTCAGGTGACTGTTAGCCTCATGTGTCATCCGTGAAGCAGCTGCCAATACCCAGCACACTCATGGGCATTAATCAAAGCAGATCACACAGGACAAGTACACTTTCCACTGGTCAGACGATCTTGCATTTAGAGGGGCCTGACCAGGATGGGAGGGCTGCTCATATAAAGTGACTGAAGGACATGAAAGAGGTTTAGTCTGAAGAAGAGAAGGCTGGGCTCAGGTCCTCTGCACAGAGGCGCCCAGGTGAGGGAGGAGTCCCGTGCCTGCTCCCCTTTCCAGTTCATGTGCCCTGGCTTGGGCCGCACCCATCTGGAGGAAGGTGTAACAATTTGTAACCCACCACCCAGAGGGGCACCCATTTGGGTTTGTGCTATCAGAGCAGGCCCTTCGTTGTAATTTTATCGAGGCTTCACCCATGCTAGCAATGGTGCTAATTGAGTTTCTCGGACTGACCTGCCTTTGGATACCTAAAGGCTTGTTGTGAGGGGTCAGAACCATGACCTATGATGTCCCAGGGACAGAACTAGGATCTCTGATGGAGATTGTGGGGAGGCCAAAGCCAACTCACTAAAAACTGCTTAAAGCAAGAGCTACCAGGAATGGCTGGGGAGGGCGGGTGGGCTTGCAAGAGAGTGAGTTCCCGGTCATTGCAGATGATCCAGAAGAGGCTAGAGGTCCATCAGGCATAGAGTTTGGAGGGCTCTAACGTCCTGGTGTCCTCTGATTCCAAGACACTGGCAGGCAGTCACCAACCTCTTCAGGGTACCTTGGGTTTCAGTTATACCCGATATGGGTTTGCCCTAATATCCACATTTCTTTCCTAGACAATCCCATCTTCAATGTTGGAGTAAAGCATATACATAGGGGTTGAGCAGATCTTGAGCCACAGACTTTTTGTTTTTTTTTATTGTGGTAAAATATACATCACATAACATTTGCCATTGAAACAATTTTTTTTTTTTAAAGTAATCTCCACACTCAAGGTGGGGCTCAAATTCTTGACTCCGAAATTAAGAGTCACATGCTCTACCAACTCAGTCAGCCAGGTGCCACCATTTAGACAATTTTTAAGTGTAAAGTTCAGTGGCATTAAGTACATTCATACTGTTGTACAATCTCTAGAACTCTTTGCATCTTGCACAACTGAGACACTTGTTCCTACTAAACACCAACTCCCCATCCCCCTCCCCCCAGCTCCTAACAACCACCATTCTACTTTCTGTCTCTATGAATTTGACTACTATGGGTACTTCACAGAAGCGGAATCATGTAGCATTTATGCTTTTGTGACTGGCTTTTTTCACTGAGCATAAGGTCTTTAAGCTTCATCCATGATGAAGCACATGTCAGAATTTCTTTCCTTTTTTTAAGGAGAGCCACCAAATTTTTTGCTTCAAACATATTTCTAAGCATGCCCTACCCTAATCACTCTGGTTGAGAACGTCTGAGCTGCAGGGACCAAAAGGAACCACTTCACCTCCTCATCAGAATACACAGGACCACATTTGGGTGTAATTGAAAACTTAAATGAAATATGTGTAAATCATCAAGCTCTGAGGAAAAAGTGTCCCTGACCAAGCTAGTGATTTCTCTACCTCGTAATTAGAAACTGAAGTGTTTATTACAAAATTATGGGGAATATTTGAAGAGCTTAGAAAAATATAAGTTTGATGGAAATATTGTTTTAAAAAATTAAGCATATTTTACTAAATCAGGTTTTTAAAAAATGGTTGAATTTCAAAGGCAACTGGATTCATATCTACCTAACGTACTTAATGCTTCATTTGTTAATGATCCTGAAAGCTTTGCTATGACCATAGAGCCACATACACTCTCTCTCTCTTTTTTTAAAGATTTTATTTATTTATTTGACAGATAGAGACATAGCAAGAGAGGGAACACAAGCAGGGGGATGGGAGAAGGAGAAGCAGGCTTCCCGCAGAGCAGGGAGCCCGATGTGGGGCTCAATCCCAGGACCCTGGGACCATGAGCTGAGCCGAAGGCAGACGCTTAACGACTGAGCCACCCAGGCGCCGCGCCACATACACTCTCTTATTCTGCCTTTTCAGCACTGTGTAGAAATAGTCAACAGTTGAAAACTCCAAGGACTGTGTATATGTGTATTGTATGTATTAAATACATATTATTGTTATTAAATATATATTATATACAGTTATTATGGATCAAATATATATACAAACACAAAATAGTGTTGATACTGGTTTCCTTTGTCGGGAGAGAACTGGGGATGGTACAGTGAAGGAGGGGTGGAAATGTTACCTTTCTGATTTTTTTTTTTTGTATTATACATTTAAAAAATGTTTTCTAGGTAGTGGAATTATAGGCTATTTTAGTTCCTCTCTTCTAAATTTTCTATATTAAAAAACTAACACAGGGGGTGCCTGGGAGGCATAGTCAGTTAAGCCTCCAACTCTTGATTTCTGCTCAGGTCATGATCTCAGGGTCGTGAAATAGAGCCCCATGTTGGGCTCTGCGCTGGGCATAGAGTCTGCTTGGGATTCTCTCTCTCCCTCTCCACTTGCTCTTCCCCTCCTCACTGGCATGCGTGCATACGTACACGTGCACTCTCTTTTTCTCCCTCAAAAACTTTTTTAAAAAATCATAAAATAGGGGGCGCCTGGGTGGCTCAGTCAGTTAGCAGTCTGCCTTCGGCTCAGGTCGTAATCCCAAGGTCCTGGGATCGAGCCCCGCGTCGGGGTCCCTGCTCAGTGGAGAGCCTGTTTCTCCCTCTCCCTCTGCCTCCTGCTCTGCCTACTTGTGCTCTCTCTCTCTCTGTCTGATAAATAAATAAAACTCTTTAAAAAAATAAAAAAATCAACACAGGAAATGTTGCTAAAAACAACTTACTCATCAACAAACTCCAAGGTTACTTTAAAAAACTGGCCAAATCTGAAATTAGCCAGAATGCATATTCTAATTTCTCTCCCATAATTTATTAGAAATCAATCTTTTTCCAAAATTAAAATGATAACAAGTGATTACTACTTTGAGTTAAGCCTCAGAATTCATATCTTTATTCTAAGGGAGTAAGGGAAGCATTAGGAAAGGTGCTAAAGGGAAAGTCTTCCTTGTTTGGGTTTCTGTTACAAAAAAACACACTCTAAAATGACTAACTTTCGATACATACCTCTAGTCCACCATCCTGGTAATTTTCCATTAATTTCTGTTTAAATTTTTCAACTATCTGTGGTCTGCTAACGGAAAAGTTTTCTTTCATGACATGGTGCTTCCAAAGGTCTAGGGGGAGAAACGCACCAACACTGGTATCATGAAACATTAAACAACAATTAATGGCTACTCTCTGAGACATAACACTGGACACAAGAAACTGTTATTTCCAAATACATAAAAACTATTGGGTGAGGCAGGGGAGGGGAGGAGGTGGTTGAGGTCACAGAATCCTCCAGAACACAGGAATAAGGAAGATCTCTAACAAGATTCCTAATGAAAAGATTTGGAAAAGTACCTCTGAAGCCCAGTGAACAATATTCTGTTATCGTAACTAAAAATCCTGAATCAAATGTTATTGTTGATCCAACATGATATCTATTTTCATTAAGTCCCTACATATATCTGAACAATTATTTTGGCCTAACACAACTAACAGAAATAAATGAAGAGCAGGGCACCTGGGTGGCTTAGTCATTAAGCGTCTGCCTTCGGCTCAGGTCATGATCCCAGGGTCCTGGAATTGAGCCCCTCATCAGGCCCCCTGCTCAGTGGGAAGCCTGCTTCTCCATTTCCCACTCCCCCTGCTTGTGTTCCCTTTCTAACTGTCTCTCTCTGTCAAATAAATAAATAAAATCTTAAAAAAGAAAGAAAGAAATGAAGAGCTATTATATTTATAGTCATAGACTAGAAGTGTTGGGAGCTGACAGACTATGGATTGAAGCAGCAACAGGCTGACATATGAGATGAGGCATATACACAGTTATTCAGAGTAACATTGTTTAGGACAGCAGTAGCTTGGAAGCAACACATAAACTGTGGTATATCCTTCCAATGGAATAGTATGAAGCTATAAAAAAGAACCTTCTCCATGTATTGATATGGAAAGAACCATAGTTTATTATGTGAAAAACGCCAGGTGAGGAACAGTGAATATAAAAATATTCTCATCTTTCATAAGAAAGATGTGATAAATATAATAAAGGAGGGGCTATCGCCTCAAGCCTATTCAAGATTATCACTCCAGAAATACAGCATTCTCCAGTATCACTTCTCCCCTCTTTCCTGGGTCTTTCACAATATCACATATTATTTCTCCCACTTCATAAAAATCCGTCTCTTCACCCCACTTCCCCTGTCAGCTATTGCTTCATTTCTTTGCTCCCTTTTTTTTTTTTTTTTGGAAAACTCTCAGAAAGAACGGCCTATCTTTACTGTCTGTGACCTCTCAAAATCCTTCTTAAGCCTACTGACCTGCTTTTGCCCCCACAGCTTCCCTGAAACTGATTTCGTATTAAGTACCAGTGACCTCAACATGATTAAAAACATTCATTTTACTCGATTACCAGAAGCATGTCACATAATTTGTCACATTCCTCCTGTTTGAGAAACTTTCATCACTAGACATTGGGATACCACTCTTAGTTTTCTTCTTGCTGTTTTTTCCCTCTAGGTCCCTTTTGCTGGTTCTCCTTTTCCCTCCCCACCTCCAGGTCTTAACATTAGAGTGTCCTCAGACTCAGCCCTTGGTTCACCTCCTTTTTTTCTATCTGCATTCACTCCCTTGGCTATCTCATTTAGTCTCATGGCTAAACATCATCCATATGCTCACAACCTTCAAATTTAGATCCAATAGTCACCTGGTATCTCTTCTTGGATGTCTAAAAGGCATTTTAAATGTCATTTGGGCATAAATAAATTCTTGATCTTCCTTCCCTAACTTGGCATCTCAGCTGATGGCAATTCTATTTTCCCAGTTTCTCAGGTCAAAAATCTTGGAGTTATCATGGACTCTTCTCTTTGTCCCACACCCAATACATAATCCATTAGTGGTTACTTCAATAATATGCCCTGAATCTGACCACTTAATACTTCCACTGCTCCCATCCTTGTTTGAACCACCATCTCCCCATGTTCAGATTATTGCAATAGCCTCCAAAGCAGCCTCTCCCTTCTTCCACCCTTTTTCCTTTACAGTCCATTCTCAAACAACAGCCAGAGAGATTCTATTAAAATATGTCAGATCAGGAGCACCTGGGTGGCTCAATCAGTTAAGCATCTGACTCTTAATTTTGGCTCAGGTCATGATCTCAGGGTTGTGAGGTCTAGCCCTGAGCTGGGCTCCACAGTCAGCAGGGAGTCTGTTTGAGATTCCCTCTCCCCCCTTCTCTCTGCCCCTCTCCCCCTCAAATGAATAAATACATCTTTTAGAATTAAAATAAAATAAAATAAAATAAAATATGTCAGATCATGTCACTCAAAATCTGGGACAGGCTCCCCATTACGTTCAGAGTAAACGTTAAGAGTAGGCCCTATGTGATCTGTCCTCTTTTCACTCTTCCGCTCTGGTTTCATTTCCTACTACTCTCCCTCACTCTCTCCACTCCAGCCACACTTGGGTCTTTCTGTTCCATAAACATGGTAGGTACTTAGGTCCTCTGTGTGGGCTGTTCTTTTGTCTGTTTATCTGTCTGCCCAGATACCCACATAGTATCTAACTCCCTCATCACCTTCAAACTTTGCTCAATGTGTCACTTTCTCCATGAAGTCTATTCTGACCACCCTATTTAAAATTGCAATGTGCCTGCTTCCAACTTCCACACCACCATCTTCCTTACTCCATTGTTTTCTTATTTCTGCTGTTTATTGCTTATTATCTGCCTATCCCCTTCTAGATGATAAAGTCCACAAGAGTAAGGAGTTTTGCTCCACGAAAGTAGGGATGTATCCCCCAAACAGTGCCTAAAATATAGTAGTATGGCACATACTAGGTGCCCAGTAAATAGATATTGGATGAAAGAATGAATTAGTATATGCATAAAGAAGCACTGATAGTATATATTAAAAAAACTAACAAAAATGGTTACATGGGGTGACAAAAGGGGGTCAGTAGTGGCAACGAGATCTCTAAACATATATGTTTTATACTGTTTTGAGTTTTGAGTCAGGTGAATGTATTAGCTGTTAAAAAAAATCAAAACTTAATATGACAGTGCTGGAGCTGTATAAATATATCAACACTCTTTAACTTCCATATGGGAGAGCAAGAGCACATGTGTATGTTTAATTATGTTGGGTAGGGTCTACTTCCTTGTGCATGACCCCAAGGGAGTCTGGAAACAAAAAGAAACCTATGGAGTCAGAGATAGAAGCCAAGCCCTGCCCCCCTCCCTTTTCTGTTGTGGGGGTGCTGGCCGCAGCAAGAATACACACAGGGCCACTCCCTGTCTCCAGCTGTTTCTAATTTCAGATGTGATTTCCTACTCATACTTTCATTTTTTCTGACAGTAGATGTGGTGCACACAAGGGGAAACATCCAGCACAGTCCTCTCAGAAATGTGGTTTCACAGAGCAGGAGCCCCTTGCAATTATCTTATTTATTGGGTGGTCCTGATTTTGAAAATTCTGGGGTTTCAGAATTCCACAGTTGGCTATTTTCCATCATAAACAAGAAATCTGACTTTGTTTTTCCTTTAGGATAATAAAGGTGAGTAGACATAATACCATTGTCCTGGCATAGTTGACGTGGAAAATCCAATAGAGGTAATGTGCCTAGAAGTTCACACTTCTTAAGATGTTTAAGACTTTTTGTTAAGTCTAAGCTTTGACAAAACAGAGCTCATGTATATTTCAGAAAATTTTCAGACAAGAAATTGGATACTTTTTCCAGGGTACATTAGCGGTAGGTCTCTGGCTCACAGAAAAGCCTGGCAAGGGACCACATCTGCCACACACTCTGGTTTGGGGGCCATCACCTGGCAAATGCCCACAGAGGTGGTTTTAGGGGTTAGCTCTGGGCTAAGCTGAAGGGGACGTATTTTTTTTTTTTTCAGCTGAAGGGGAAGTATTAAGTATTTTACCAAAGTGCTGGGAAATCTTCCTGCCATACTTCTTCCTCATGAGTTCAAGTTCAAACATGCAAGTACTTCTGTAGGCAGGAGTCAGGGGAAGCCAGGGAGAGTCGAATTCATCCAAGAGAAGTAATTCCTGGCCAAGTAGAGTTTGTGGTCTCCAAATGGGTCTCATTTTCAGTGTGAGTGTGTGTGTGTGTGTGTGTGTGTGTGTGTGGTCATGGCTTCTTTAAGATGAAGCAGTTTTAGATGGCAGCATGGAGGTGGGAAGGAGACAGCACACTGGGGGTTAAATTAGCGTTTTGTTCTTTCCTCTCCCTCTGTTCCCAGGTGCTTTGACTGGAGGAAACTTTGACTTCCTGGTGGCCAAACCACTTCCCCTCTCTCCCTCTATGAACACTCTCCCTACCCTCTAGTCAGCCTCCTCCCTCTAGGAAAGGCATCTTGGTTTCGTAGCATTTCACTTCTCTAACACAACCACTAGCATCTGCCTAAGTGGCTCCTGGGTCCTGAGCTCAGCAGAACTGAAACTTGAAGGCATCCCACTGCCAAACAACATTCTCCTGACCAGCCGGGATACGTTGAAACCTTATTGCTTTAAGCATGTGTATGTATGTGTGTATTTCTACTCCTGTGTTTCTCAAACTGCTCCCCAGAACACTAGTCCCTTGAGTTGATGATAGATACTCATGAGGGGAGAAAAGTGTTCTGTGGTTAAATAAATTTAAAGAACATTACAGTGGGTGGGGGGATGGGGTAATTGGGTGATGGGCATTAAGGAGGACACTTGATGTAATGAGCCCTGGGTGTTATATGCAACTGATGAATCACTAAACTCTACCCTGAACCTAATAATACACTATATGTTAACTAACTTGAATTTAAATAAAAAATTTTTAAAAAATAAAGAATATTTCATACGCTCTCTTTTGGAGCGTTACAGTGCACACTATGATAGTAAAGGCTCTGAGAAGGCCTGGAGGAAAGAAACCTTTTTAACATTACTTACCACAAGTTTCTCAAACTTGTTTTGGCAAAAAACAAATAAATAAAATCTTCCCCCTCCCCCCAACCCTTGCAAAACACAGAAGTCCTTTCCTTGCAATCAAGACTAAGAGTTGGTTTGTCAATCAAAAGAAGTCTGTTAAACCAGAGAATGCTTTAAAAAAATGACTTGCGGTATCTTAAACATTTTATTTAACTTAAAAATATACAAACATTTGCCAATTTTCTAACATAGAACTTAGGCCTTTTCTTTGTATGCACCCACTCATTGGAGTTCTGTACTATCTTTCTTCTAGAAACCATAACACATTGTGTGGTTTTCTAGTGTGTGGTTTTTATTGGTTTGCTTGTTTCTTTCTTTTTATGGAAAGAAAACTAAAAGACAATGGAACAATCCAAATGTATCATTTTTTTAGGGCAGTTTTTTTTTTTTTAAAGATTTTATTTATTTATTTGACAGAGAGAGACACAGAGAGAGAGGGAACACTAGCAGAAGGAGTGGGAGAGGGAGAAGCAGGCTTCCCGCGGAGCAGGGAGCCCGACGTGGGGCTCGATCCCAGGACCCTGGGATCATGACCTGAGCCGAAGGCAGACGCTTAACGACTGAGCCACCCAGGTGCCCCAGGGCAGTTTTAAGTTCATAGAAAAATTGAGCAAATAGTACAGAGAGTTCCCACATATTCCCTGCCCTCTCTACCCCCAACACACAGCCTCCCCAACTATCAACATCCTACACCAGTGTGGTGTGTCTGTTAAAACTGATGAGCATACACTGACATGTCATTATCACCCAAAGTCCATAGTTTACATTACGGTTCACTCTTGGTGAAACTATGGGTTTGACAAATGTGTAACTGGCATCTCTCCACTATTATACTATCATACAGAATAGTTTCACTACCTTAAAAATCCTCTGTATTCTGCCTTTTCATCCTTCTCTCACCTCTAAACCCTTGGCAACCACTGATCTTTTTACTGTCCCCATTGTTCTGCCTTTTCTTGAAAGTCATATATTTGGAATCATACAATATGTAGTCTTTTCAGGTTGGTTTCTTTTGCTTCGGTAATAGACATTTTTATCCATGTCTTTTCATGGTTGGATAGCTCATTTCTTTTTAGCATTAAATATTATTCCATTGACTGGATGTACCACAGTTTATCCATTTCGACTTGGTTTTTATAGAACAGATCTCTTTTTGTACTCCTATGTCATTGGTTTAAATAATACTTAAATTACTCAGGGGCGCCTGGGTGGCTCAGTTGGTTAAGCGACTGCCTTCGGCTCGGGTCATGATCCTGGAGTACTGGGATGGAGTCCCACATCGGGCTCCCTGCTCGGCAGGGAGTCTGCTTCTCCCTCTGACCCTCCCCTCTCTCATGTACTCTCTCTCTCTCTCTCATCCTCACTCTCTCAAAATAAATAATAAATAAATCTTTAAAAAAAATACTTAAATTACTCAAACACAATGACAAGCAAAACTGGCACGAACAGGTTTGGAGCAAACAATGATCAACGATACTAGGTAAACATAGGGAACCCAAAGACTGTGATCAGTGAGTATTTTGCCAGTTTGTGTTACCAAGGGAATGGAAAGCGTCAGGTAGCCTGTGAGTCTGTTAGTACAGGGTGATAGAGAGAACCACTGCACTAACATGTTAAGAAACTGGTGTTCTAGGGCACACTGCTGGGAATGCTGGCCTTGACCATGCTCTCCTAAGTGTTTGGATTATGCTTCCCTCAAGCAAAACATTTTTGTCCACTCACTGTTAACATGTGTATATTTATGTATTTCTAACTACCTACAATACTATCACTGGCTAATATTGTATAGCATGATATGCTTAGGGTGAAGCTCATCAACAATGAGACTGGATCTCAACCTACATTCCTAAAAGTTTTCTTGACCTTTTAAATTTTTTTGTCTGACTTCTTTTCAGATGTAGTTATCTTTTAAACCTTATAATGTGGCTGACAATAAGCATATACCAGGATTAGAAGTGTCTCCACTAATTCTTAGTGCTTGCTTGTGGTTTGCCTTAGAGTGGTCATTTCGGGACACCTCAGTGTAGAGTGTGACATGTGACTTCTTATATATGGATTTAATCTATTTAGAAGCTCTAATATTTTCTTCCCACACCCCTGAGATATAGGCACTCCACTCTGGAGATTGCTGACCTTATAAATGCTCAGAGAAATTGAGAAAGTCAATTAAGAATTACTTCAATGCCAAAATGTCAAATATGGGGAATAGCAGAGCCTTTTTGAATCCATGGAGCCCAACTCTCTGCTAAGCCAAGCCCTGAGACTTAACAAGGATGTCTGGAGCAACTTTTTAAAGTTCTCAGGGAAGCACCAGTTCAGCTCTGACAAACTAGCACTGGACCAAGTGTGACTGCCACATTTTCAGATGCTCACTGATAAACTGGAAACCCCTTCAGAAGTTATACAAGAAGATAAAGCTCCAAAACAAGGTGGGAAGGAGGGAGGAGACAGAGAAGTATTGGAGGGTTTCTTTCTGGCTGGTAATAAATGTAGACACCAGAGTTGGCCAACAGGGACAGAGAAGACCCTGAGGGGTCTGAGCTGGGGATGTCCCCTGGGTCTCAATACTCTCCATTCCCAACTCCCTCTTTAGAAACTCCTAGTGCCAAGCTAACCTTGGCCACAAAAGGCGGTCTCTGCAATGAAGAAGCAGCCCCTGTTGGAAGCCCCATCCACTATGGTGGCTTCTTGCTGCTGAGATGCACAGTAGTTGGGTGGGGATTCCAAGGTTTTATTGCCTTCTTTGAAGGTTCTCGGTCCACAGGTCTCAAGAAGACTACACTGAAGAAATGTCTATAAAAGCACCCCTGGCACACAGCGGGGACTCTGTCACTTGCCCTGGGGAAACTCACTACGGGAGGACACCCACATTGAGTCATGCTTAACAGGCCAAAAACAAAACCAACAATAACAAAACACCTTCACTATTGGCATTTGTTTTAAAAGTCATGAGTATAGAATCTGAACAAGAGCTTAGAATTGGCCAGTATACTCTAGCCAAAGTAAGTTTTGGTAATATCAACCTTACCACCATTAACAATAACTCTACCCCTCCCCTCTGCCTGACTCCCACCAGCCTCTTACTGAAGGCTCTTTCCAAGCACGGCTGACAAGCACCCTGTACCAGGGGGCACACAGCAGAACCTCAAAGCAAAAATGCTTCCTCCTTTCCCCCACTATCCTGGTGTCTCATTAAACCACAGCCTGAAACATGCACATGGTTGCACCTGCTGCATGCCTGTGGATTTTCTCCCAAGACTCGAAGGGAGCCACCTGGATGCAGCAAACACAGCACAGACAACAAGTGCTTTGTGTCTTGTTAAATGCTCTGTAATTGAAGTTCAACCTCACTTAGCTCTCTGGTGACATTTAGCTCTCTGGTGACATCCCCAGCTGAGAAGTGGCTTGCCCTCTCACTGCATAGCCTTTTCCCAAAGCCCTGTTGACAGAATTCAGTTACTCGAAGCACTGAGAAAAATGACAATGTCTTAGGTGAGGATGTAGATTCTTAATGCACATTACAGTATCTGTGGACTTTGGCTCAAAAGAAAAATCTAATTGGGTTTCCTAGTTAAACAACTTCTCTGTCATTTAAAGGTTATGGATTTTTCCTACAGAATTAGTAGGAGTCAGGAGTAGACATTGAAGTTTAGACAGGACCAGCTACATAATCTATGACACCGTGGGCAAAATAAAAATGCAGGGCTTCTTATTCAAAAAGTAGAGGAAAAAAGCACCACTATAGGTACTAAAATATGGTGTTTCCTTTCTTCTGCAGTCTCTTTCTTCACCTGGCATGGTGTTTTTATTCATTTTTAATGTTGTACTCCTTGGGCACAGGAATGCTTGTAAGGCAAGTGTGACCCTCCAGGCACCCAGGGGCTCCAGCCTGTGACCGGAAGCATGAGTGTATATGCAGCTGCGGGATGGCGGCCCCATGTCCTGGCCAGGGGCAGAGAAGTTGAGCCAGGCAGCTTTCCTTCCTTCCCACGGGCCCACTGTGGACAGGCCAGCCAAAGGGTATTGTAACCTCCATCCCAGGATATTGTACAAATCTAAGGATAGGCAATAGGCTTGCTCCCACTGAGTCACCCATCAGATGTACCATGATGTTGCCAGACTAGGGTCCTTGAGATACTACTAGGTACACATATCCTGATCTTCCTCTTGCTCAAGCCCCTGGTGGAGAGAAGGGTGGCAGCAATTGCTGGGTGGGGATGCTGAGGGGGAGATTGGGGGTGCCTAGGGTGCCAGAGAGCAGATGAGTAGGCAGCTGAGAACCCCTCCTGGCAAGGTGGGGAGGCAGTAAGAAGTAGAACTGTGTGTAAGGCAAAGGCTCCAAGTCCTTGGTGCATGCTCCAGGGACTCACTGAATTCCAGTTACAAAACACAAATTCTAAGTTAAAATCAAGAGTTTCAAGATGGTACCCATAGAGCATTAAACCCCAAGTACTCCTGGGTCCTATGTAAGTGCACTGATCACATGTCCGTGAAGTGAGCCTGACTTTAGACTTCAGATGAAAGGAAAGAATTTTGATTGCCTTCCCACCCCAAATACATGTTATTTGTGAGATTTTGACATGTATGTCATATATATGTGTGTATATATATATATATATATACTTAAATATATTACAAATAAGAAAAGCTTATGTGTTTTACCCATTTTGACTTTATTTCAGTTATGAGTTAACTAGCAGAGTTGAGACTGAACTTAACGAATGTTTTCTATTTTAAAGACTTTAAGTAGAAGGAAATATATCAAAGTGATAATAGTTCTCTCTGGGCCAAGGTGTTAAAAAGTAATTTTTATATCATTTTCTGGGCATTGTGATACTTTTTTTATGATGAAAATGATACATGGATTGCTTTTATAATTAGGAAAAAAAATAAATGCTATTTTGTGAAGTAATAAAATAAACATACTTTACCTGTAGGGAGGGAGAGTACACTGCTCCTTGGATTTTTTTGATACCACTAGTGCTATCTCTCTGTTAACTTTTCTTAATACTTCTTGGATCATATGAATTTCAAGATTTTCCAGAAGTTTCTGAAGCTAGAGTAAGAAGTTTGAGAGTCACTTTCTACATTCAGCTTATACTCTGAGGTCCTAAGTCAAATTCCTGCTGATGGGTCTGGGGCTAGGTCCTGTCCTTCAGCTACTCTCTCTCAGGGAAGAAGGAAGGGTTCCTTTCTTGGGTTTCCAAGTGCTTCTGCAGGGGTAGATATACCTCTCTGGAGACCAACATCTTTTCTTCCTGGCCCACATCCCAGTTGATAAAATACAACCCTTTTTTACCAAGTCGTGATAAATTGCAAAGTGCTCAATGTCTGAGGTGATCTCATGTGTTTTGGGGGTCTCTTAAATGTGGTCAGGAATTTCATGAGATGTCATTACAAGAGAAACCCCTGGGCCTGAAACTCAATTTAGATATCAAGGAGGATTTCATGAGAAGTTTTAAAATTCCAAACATGACCAGGAGAAAACTCTCCCAATAACCATGGGCCCTTTACCCATTATGCTTGTAGAGCCGATGTTTCTCCCTGTCACAGGACCCTAGGTACAAGAGAGAACCAGGGCTCAGAAGGGTAAGCAATGGGCTTGGGACTGGGGTGTGTGTGTGTGTGTGTTGTGGGGCGGGGGGCAGATTGCCACTGAATTTTTGATCTTCAGGGGATGAGAATCTCCACTGATACTCAAACAGCTAGAAATTTGCTTGCCTGTTACAGTAACAAGGAGAACACAGCCTTGCCTGTTACAGACACAAGGGAACACAGGCATGTGGAGACTGTGTCCCAGGGCCAAGGTGAACAAACACTTGGGAAAACAACCTCTCACATCTAGCACACCAAATGGACTAGTGTGTAAATCATGTTGTCTTATTCTCAGAAAAACAATCACAGGAGCTATTTTGAATATTCCATTTTCATGGGTGTGTGTGTGTTGGAGGGAGTGGATAATTGTGTGCTAGATTTTAAGTTTAAGATGTTAGTATGTTCTCTATCATAGTCTCTTTTTTTTGTGGTAGTCTACCTTAACTAGAGGAAAATCAAAATATGAAGATCTAGACTTACAAAATGGAGGTATTAGCGATAGTTATTTGCATAATCAAAGCTCCACATGCTTTTAAATACTTAGTTCCCTCTGAGCCTGTTCAATGATTTACATGCCTTCAATCTCCACTTAATGTCTTAGAAAAAAATGCCACTTGGGTGTACCTGTAGTTTTACATGCTTATGCCATAAAGCAAAATTTCAAAGTCACATTCAAAATAGTTCCTGCATACCTGCTGGGTTTTTATTTCAATTTCTGAAGCTCCATTGGGGGGAAGAATAGACTGACTACTTATTATAATACCTACGAATTCATCTTCTTTCCCCATCCGCCTAGCTATAGCTTTCATGCTGGGGTAGAGAATGTCAGTTCTATTGAAGAAGAGAGACAGAAATTAGCAGACAAACATATGTTTTTCCTATTCAGATTCTCTGACAATCATTTCCATTCACATTCTGTTTTCTGTCATCACGTATAAACCTCCCAACCCATTACAGTCACTCACATTGACATCTAATTTTACCACAGTTGCCACTCCCTTAGTCAATATTAAATCCCGAGGCCTTTTCCCATTGGGTACATATAACTTCAGTCTTCATTCTTCAAAATATTGACAAGTTCTCTCATTCCCTAGTTACCAGGGAAGTTGACCATAATAACTTGTAAGATAGACCACTGGGACTATGCCACCAAAGAGAACCTTCTTGTGCCCAAGAAGTAAGGTCAGATGGTGAGTGGATGCTTAGTGAATGCTTGTTTGATAACAGACACATGGCAAAAGCAACATGTCTTTCCTGCCAGCTAAGTCATCCTAGCTAGAGCCTGAAGCTGTGAAAACACCCCACCATCCCACATACCTAAAACCTCATGTTGCACCATATTATACCTCTGGCGGCAATTCATGAAACTCTCAGAGACTCAACACTTGGGTCTGATGGGGCGGAAAATGGGGACTAGTTTATGGCAGCATCATCCCCCTACCCAGTGCTCACTGGGATCCTATGAACTAAAAAAGCTGAGGAGTCAGCACCATGGGCACATTTGAGAAGCTCAAGTTCCCAGAGACAGAACTCTAGGTAAATGATACACAGTGTTCCTTAGTGGAACCCGGCACTGTCCCTGCAGTCAACAGAACCCAGCTTTTCCTGTAAAGCGCTGGTTATAGGACACATTGCTCAGCTTCCTCTGCGCTCAGTGGGGCTGGGTGTACCAGGATTATGGACCAAATCTCACCCTCAGAGTAAGGGGAGGAATTTAGCAGACCCCAGATTCCACTCATTCACAAAAATTTCTACCTCAGCAACACTCACTCGTAGAGTTCTGAGAACTGTTTGTGGAAGGAGACAGAATCGCTCTCCTGGACTTGCAGTTTGAGTCCGCCCCAGTGCTCCTTTAGCAATTCCAGCTGCTTCCACAGCACCAGAAATGATCTCAAGAAAGCAAAGGACATCACTGCATTGCATGGGCCCCTCAGCAGCCTGGAGGCTTTTGGGCTGCTTTGGAATGGACTTCTGAATACTGGCACTCTGGACAAATCTGCCTGAAAGCATTACAGAAATTCTTCCTTATTAATCATAGATCAATATGGGATAACTTTTACATATAGCCCATGCAGAACGAACATTTTGGAAAAGGCCTATTTTCCCCAGAAGGAATGATTCATGGGTTTACAGCACAGTTAGAGCTTAGAAAGGGTAAAAGCATCCTTTCTAAATAGATAGGACACTGGAAAGAGGGAAATGTCTCCATTTAAGCTTTCTGCTGAGTCTTGAATCACTCATTTTAAAAACTCTTACTTGGGTACTAACATTTTACCTGCCTTTGAAAAATTGAACCTTTCATGTTTAGCCTCTGCATTCTGGAAAGTGCCCTTCAACACACTTGAGATTTAATTCCCCATCACGGTAGGGCTGTAATATAACCTCAGATTAGGGATTTTACTTGTTTTATGGATAAGGAAATGGAAACGTGAGTTTATCTTATTTCCTATTCCTTCTCCCATCCTTTAAAAGTTTACATGTCTCTTAATTTGAATTTATTATTCAACAGGCAATTTTCCTTTAGAATTATGATTTGTTTATTCATTCATTGGTACTTTCCCTAAATCAGTGTTTGTTGAGGGGTTGCTCTGAGCCCTGGAGGAGTGGAGGGAATGAGGTTTTCAGGTTCCCCTCTCCTGCAGCCAGAGTGTAAAGAGGGCCAGAGTCACCCAGAGAGCGACAGACAAAACGGGGACCTGCATCCAGGCCCTCACCCTGATGACAGGGTCTCAGTCACAAGAAAAGGAGCATTGCTTTGCAGACGAAGATGGCAAACCTGGATCATGCTGTTATGGCAAGAAGGGCCTCAGAGAACATTCAGGTAACAGCACCTCAGATACTCAAGTTTCCTGGCTCAGAACAGGAAGAACACCCACGTAGTGTAACTGGATCAGTGCTATTAACATATCTACATAAAGGCACAGCTGCCAGAAAGAAGGTTGGTCAGAGGTGGAGTTGGCAAGCCAGACCCAGGGGAGAGCCCACAGCCCTGCACACAGCTGACAGCCCCTCAAGTAGCCTACCTCCTCACTAAGCAGCTAACCCAAGATTTCCAGATTTGTTTTATCCTCAGGAAACTTTTCATCAAATAAAACCTTACAGAGTGATGGAAAATATTCAACAGACCAAGGCTGAGCATGGTGACAGGGAGGGGACAGCCTACGGGCCATGTAGCCCCCTCTGCTCAAAAAGCCCCAAGATGCCCCTTTTAAAGGGTTTGTGTGCAGTTTCACCTGAAGACCCAGCAAAAAAAATAACAGTTTGAAAAGCACCTACACTATACGTGTAGGAGATTTATTGGCTAATCTAAAAGCAAATGGAGGGGAGGGGCAGATGAACTCTCCCCAGAGATGGGAGATGTCATTGGCAGATGCCAATATTTCACCTCCACTTACCCTGCTAGCACAGGTGAGCGAACTCAGAGGCAAAACCCTCCTACCACCACCTTGCTAAGACAAGCAGGGGCAATTGGCTGCCTTGCTGGAGCCAGAGCGGGAGCCAGTTGCAACACTTCCCTGCTCCCTAGCTGGGGTAGGCAAGAGCAAGCAGCAGCAGCATTTTCCCACACCTTAGCTAAAGCTGGTGAGCACAGGGGGTTGCAAGACTCCTGCACTCTGGATGGGGCTGACAACTGTGAGCAGTCCCAGCATTTTCCTGCTCTCAGCCTAAAGCCAGAATATGCACACAGACAGGATATTCCTTCCTCCTGTTGCCGTCCCGAAGCCCCCAGGCACAGGGAGTTAAGACATTTTCCTGCTGCCTTTCTGAAGCTGGAGTGTCCCACCCCCTACATTCTCCAGCTGCCTAGTTAAAGCCAGTGGATATATGCAATCCACACAGGGGATGCTCCTTGACTGCCTGGACCTGGGGCCTAAGGGGGCTGACATTCCCGAGCTCCAAGGCAATGTAACAGTCAGAAAGGCAGCACCTGGCAGGCCACCCCTTCAGGGCATGGCAGACAGCAGACTGAAGCACAACCCTGTCTTCCTGTGAAAAAAGCCTATTTACGTAGCCTGCAGCTTCAGCCTGAGGAGCAGGCTTCAGGTTTTCCCTACATCTAGAGGCTACAGAGATGCTCCCAGAGAACATAAGCAGGAAGACACCATCCTTGTGCACCTCCCATGCCTCGATACAGCTCAGTAAGTCTTCCCAGAAAGAGCTTATACACTCATGTAGAGTCCCAAGTTTTGCAACTGTCACCCAGAGGATATCTTCAGATCTTTTGGTCTGGAGGCCAGCAGGGATTATGATTGTGGCTGCACAAGACTATATTTGCATATATTTTTTAAGAGATTTTATTTATTTATTTGTGAGAGAGAGAGCACAAGTAGGGTGAGTGGGGAGGAGGAGAGGGAGAGGGATAAGCAGACTCCCCGCTGAACAGGGAGCCTGACATGGGGCTCAATCATGACCTGAGCCCAAGGCAGATGCTTGACCTACTGAGGCACCCAGGCACCCCAATATATTTGCATATTTTAAAAGCTGCTGCCTGAGGGTCTAGCTTCAGGTTAGCCTGAAACTTGGTGCTAAATGAAATTTCTCCTCTTGGAACACTGACAGGCCTTGGTACATCCTCAATAACAAGGACATATCAATAATAAATTAGGCTGATTAGACAATCACAAAGTTTCAAGAAACAACCAAGAGCTGGGGCAAGGTTGAACGAGAAGTTTCATCAGCTACACAAGGGCACTCCAAGACTGAGAGACTCAGAAAAAGACCATAATGCTATGGAGCTAAGTAATCTACCTGATAAAGAATTCAGGGTAAATGTCATAAAGATGCTTACCAAACTTGGGAGAGGAATGGATTAACACAGTAAGGTTTCAACAATGAGATAGAAAATATAATAAAGTACCAAACACGAGTCCACAGAGCTGAAGAATATAATAACTGAACTGAAAAATACAGTAGAGCATTTAAACATCAGATGTTTATCTATTTATCTATATAGCAGATGAATGGGTCAGCAAGCTGGATGCAAAGAAATGGAATTCACCCAGACAGAGCCACAAAAGGAAAAAGGAATTTTAAAAAATGAAGATAACTTATGGGACCTATGAGATAACATCAAATAGAATAACATTTGCACTATAGGGGTTCCAGAAAGAGAAATGGGCAGAAAATTATTTGAAGAAATAATGACTGAAAACTTCCTTAACCTAGGGAAGGAAACAGGTATCTAGGTCCAGGAAGCCCAGAGAATTCCAAATAAGATGAACTCAAAGAGATCCACACCAAGACACATTATAATTAAAGTGTCAAAACTTACAGAGAGAATCTTAAAAGTAGTAAGAGAAAAACCAGTTGTTACATACAAGGGAAACACCATAGTCAGCAGATTTCTCAGCAGAAACTTTGCAGGCCAGAAGAGAGTGACATGATATATTCAAGGTACTGAAAGGAAAAAACCTCCAGCCAAAAATACTCTACCTGAAGGTTATCATTCAGAATTGAAGAAGAGAGAGTTTTCCAGACAAAAGCTAAAGGAATCCGTCACTCCTAAACTGGCCTTATAAGAAATGTTAAAGGGACTTCTTTTAGCAGAAAAGAAATGGCACTACTTGTTAACAACAACAACAACAACAACAAAAAAGCATACAAAAGTAAAAATCTCACTGGAAAAGGTAAATAAATAGTAAAGGTAATGGGTTAATATATAAAGCTACTATGAAGGTTAAAAGACCAAAGTAAAATTAACTAAAACTACAATAATTAGTTAAGAGATAAATAAAGGAAAAAGATGTAAAATGTAACATCAAAAACAAACATGAAGGGGTGTGGTAGTTAAAATGTAGGGTTTGGAAAATGTTCAAATGTAAATTGCTATCAACTTAAAAGAGACAGTTATATACATAGGATGATATATGTGAACCTTACAGTAACTACATAGCAAAAATTTATATTAAATACACAAAAGAAAATGAGAAAAGAATCTAAACATAACACTAAAAAAAGTCATCAACCAGAAGGGAAGAAAGAAAGAGAAGAAGGAAGGAATAGAAGGGAACTATAAAAACAGTCACTAAACAAGTAAAAAAATGGCAATAAGTACCTACCTATCAATAATTAAAATAAATGCAAATAAATTCTCTAATAAAAAAAATCACAGAGTGACTGAATGGATAGAAAAGCAAGGCACTTTTATATACTGCCTATAAGAGACTCACTTCATAAGTAAGGACACACACTGACTGAAAGTGAAAGGATGGAAAAAAGATATTCCCTGCAAATGGAAATGAAAAGAAAGCTGGTGTAGCTATGCTCATATTAGACAAAATAGACTTTAAAACAAAGACTATAATAAAAGACAAAGAAGGGCCCCACATAATGATAAAGGAATCAATCTCAAGAAGGTAAAACATTTCTAAATATATATGCACCCAATGTAGGAGCACCAAAGAACATAAAACAAATATTAAGAGACCTAAAGTGAGAGAATGACAGCAATACAATAATAGTAGGAGACTTTGACATCCACTTGTATCAGTTAATAGATAGTCCAGACAGAAAAATCAAATAAGGAAACATTGGCTTTAAATGACACAAACAAAGCCCAAGTTAGTAAAAGGAAGGAAATAATAAATATCAGAGCAGAAATAAATAAAATAGAGACTAAAAAGATAATTTTAAAAAATCAATGAAGTGCTGGTTCTTTGAAACAATAAACAAAATTGACAAACCTATAGCTAGACTCACCAAGAAAAAAAGTGAGAGTTTAAAGAAATAAAAGAAATAAAAGAAATAAAAAAACAGAAATGAAAGAGAAGTTACAACTGATACCACAGAAATACAGAGGATTGTAAGAGACAATTACTAACAATTACATACAAATAAATTGGACAATCTAGAAAGATAAATGCTTAGGAACTTACAAATCTTCAAAGACTGAATCATAAAAAAACCAAAAAATCTGAATTGACCAATTATTAGCAAGGAGATTGATTCAGTAATCAAAAACCTCCCTCCCAAAAAACAAAAGTCCAAGACCAGACAGCTTCACTGAT